ATGAGTTTGAATCCTGGCTCAGCCACTTCCTAGCTGTGTGCCTTTGAGTAAGTCACTTGACTACTTTGTACCTCAGTGTCCTGATCTGTAGATAGGGATGACAGTTTTTTGGGGGCGCTAACTTGGGACTCTGGTTTTCAAAAGGATCAGTCCAAGCTGAATTAGGGGACTTTGACCTTGAGTCTTGTATCTATTGCACAAGGTATTCCAAGAGCACCTACCAGCATGTCAGAGTCTTTAAACGAGGCACGAGGAAGGAGCCCCAGGGAGGTGAATCGAACAGCCAGCCTGTGGGCTGACTCGGGGTCCAGCAGCCTCTGCAGAGCTGGCATCAAGTACTCAGCGTAGAAATGCTCATCCCCCGTGGCCATCAGGTAGGAGGCAAAGAGAAGTCCTCCGCCCCCCAGGATGACCACGGCATCCTGGGCCCGCTTCTGGAAAACAAGAGCACCCTCTCTGAGCCCTTTACACACATACACAGAGGACATAATGACTTGTCATGTGAAGCAATGTCCCGAGCCTCCTGCTAACACTGGTCTCCTTCTTTTCTAGTCTTGCTCCCACACTGGCCTCCACAAAAGCTGTATCCACACTTCTGCTGACACACACTCGTCTGGCCCTAAAGGACTTCAGGGCAGAGGTTTCAAGAAGGGCAGTACTGCCCCCTAGGGAAGATGTGGTGGCCATTTTGGGGGAATGCTGATAGATTTAGTGGGGAGGAATCAAGGAAGTCAGACATCCTACATTGCTTTGCGACTATCTGACACATGAATTGTCCCTGTCCTGTCTGACTTTTGAACCTCCTATTGACATTCAGTAGGTAAAAATATCTGTTCATATTCTCTGATCCCAGACCCAAACTGTATTTCATCACATAAACACAAACTATCTGCTGCACAGTTTTCATACACATTGACTTTTCCAGGAATGCAATTACGTTGTAAACTGAGGGATGACTATACTGTCTTGCACAGAACATTAACAAGAATTGTTTACCATTTCAGAAAATCTATCAGGAATGGCACGGTGCTTTGCTTGGGGTGTCTGACAATAAAACATACCTGTGGCACTAGAATTTCTAAGTAGAGGCTTAACCACCTGACGACCTCACTATCTAGGAGACTCATGCCCTAACATGTACATATTCAAATACGTATTGTTTTATTATAAATTACTTTCATTTCTCCTTTATATTTCAGTTAGGACATTATGTTGACTTTTAAAAATTATGCACAGAAAGATTACATTATACCTAAATTCCATTTGAGGATAATAAAGGGGGTTTCAAAACATCTTTTTTTAAAGGAGCATCAGGTCTTACTGGATCAAGCTCAAACATGGTTCATAATGCTTTTCTCTAATTGTCCCTGCCAGATACTGAGTCACTTATTCATTCATTCAATCATTCATCACACAATGATTGAGCCCTCAAAGGTGGGCTGAACAGAGTCCCTGCTGTCATGAGGAGTACAATCTCATGAGGAGACAGAAATCAACGATCATGCACATATATAACTGTGACAATGCTATGAAGAAAAAAAGTATAGGGTAATGGAAGAACCCAACCTAATCTCAGAGGTAGAGAAAGGCTTCCTGGAGGAGGTGACTTCCTGGGGGGGGGGGGGGGGTAGGAAAAAGTGTAAACGCTCTCTCGGTGGCAGAGGAGAATGAGATGCACCCAGGGAATGGGGGAAGAAGAAAAGTTTGTTGGGTACCAAGGGGTGAGGAAAAGTATAGCTTAAAAAGAAGCTGGGGAGACAGGCAGCAGTATTGGCCAGAACAAAGATTTGGGTTTTGTTCCCTAAACAAGGCAGTGACATGATCAGATTTGCCTTTAGGGATCACTCCTAGTTGTCAATACAGATCAAGTATGCATTGTCTCGCTTCTAGTCTCCTCTAGGAGATTGTTGGAACGCCCCTTATGTCAATCAACAATTATCTGAACACCGTTACTTAGACGCCCGCCCTAAAATTTCATCTAGAAGGGTTGGGACCATGTCTTTTTGTAATTTCATTCCACGTTGGATCCTGCACACAGTGCTATGCCGTCGTGTGTTCACTAAGCGCCCCTGTGCCAAGCTCAATAACAGTTTGCCCCTGAGGGAGGTGACCGTCGCAAAAAGAAAAAAATTTAGCCCACATGCGCTGACATAGACCGGCATCTAACCCGTTTACACGTGCCGTTTACACACAGTGACCAAGCACACGTGTAAACGCACACACACGAGCTTTTGCGGTGCCCCTAAAGACACGCAAACGTGCCAAAGAGGCCCACGCTCTCGGAGCCGCCTCCTGCCCACATATCGTCCAGGACAGCCCTCCCTTATCCCCCTGCGCCGCTCCCCGCTCCGCCTCGTCCTCGCCATCTCAGAGCCCCACTTGCTGGACTCACTTTTAGCTGTCTCCACGCCATGCTCCTTCCGCCCCTGGGCCCGCCTCTGTCTCGTTTCCATTGAAGGAGCTGACGGTGCGCCCTCTAAATCACGCCCCTGGAGCTGCCAATTCACCAATCGCCGGGCGGGAGGGTGGGGCGGGCCTCTCCGAGGCGGGGAAGGCCCGGCTGCGCCCCGAGAGTCTGGTTGGATGCTCACGCGCAGGCGCAATCGCGGCGGCCACCCCTGTTCCCCCACCTCCCGGCGTCCCGCTGCGGTTCTCGGAGTTGTCGGGGCGCTCAAGGTGGGGTGCTGCTTAGGGTGTGTCTGTGGTCCTGCAACCCGAACAAAAGACGACTTATATATTGATTGTCCAGTTCTAAGCAACACTCGCATCAAGTTTTTGATCATATAAGTTAAGCATTTTATTGACATGCTTGTGCTCTAGATAAAGCATGTATTGAGAGAGTATATATCAGGCTCTGTAAAAAGGGTTGAAATGAATTACAGCACTGTGTAAGATGTCTGAGTTGACTTTCAGAGAAGATTCCATCAACATCAGATTTCACTTAAAAATGCCTAAAACTTGTGTACATATGTTTATGAGGATTTTGGGAAATTAAGACTTTGTAGTCGAAACTAAGTATCCTGCACCGAAACGATTCCATTGCTGCAGACTTGCTGGACTCCTTGCTGAGAAACCTAAATAAATTGCAAACTCTTTTTTTCCTGGCATTTGAAACATTTCAGTTTTATCGTTTCAGTTCCCATTACTGTCCCCACAAGTACCCCCCACACATGCATACACGCACTCAGTGAATTATTTCTTTCTCTTTATAAATACCTTCCACTTTGTCACTTACATGCATTTACTCACACTGACTCCTCTGCCAAGATGTCAGTTTCATCTGTCTGAATGTGGCCATCCTTACATGTTCAATTCAAGTGTGGAAATAATTTCTTTCTCATCTTAACCCTCACGGATTTAATCTGTACTTCTCTAGTGGCACTTTATTAATTATACTTATTATACCTTTAATAACTACAATTTTTATGTCTTTTCTTCCCTAATTAGACTAAACTTTTTGAAAGTAGGGACCATACCATATTAATCTTTCATTTGACTACTGCAGTGTTTTTCTTAACAAGGATGTATTTGATACCGGCTCAAGACAGTGTTGACATAAGGGAAGCCATATTGTAGAAAAGAAAACTCTATTGTAACTTTGACCTCTGACAAACTAACCCAGCTGGATATGCACCCTCCAGGAGATCTAACTGCTCTGTAGATTTTACGACCCCTGCTTGTGCACGTACCTCCCAGCTGTGATAAGATGATAACTGCTTTTTTGAGTTCCTTAGGAACGTGATGACCCCCAAACAGAGAACCTATGCTGATAGCCATCATCAGTGAAAACTGAAAGATCTGGTGTGGCACTCCCAGTCTGTAACACCAGAAGGTCAACATTCCTAACCCCCTCCCCGATAACACAATGGCCTATATAACTACTGTAAGATTTCATGCCTCCTTAAGATGGTTTTTTTGCACATGAGTTGGCCATCTTCCCTCTTGCTAGCAAGCTGTAATAATAAAGTCCTTTTTCTCCTACCACCTTTCCTCTTGACTATTGGCATGTCTTGGGGCAAGCAGAAGGCCCCACGTTGGGCGGTAACATATTCTTGGGGTCTACACTGCAGATAATTTTTTATTTCGGTGTCCACTTCCATAATGATTTTAAAAAGTAATGTAAGCATTATTTGGACCATTTGGATAACCAACTGAACCCTGAAACCTGCCAAGCGATTTCAATGCCCACATTTATTTGTATTTATGATCACATAAAAAGAAAGAAAACTAGCTAAAATACATAAATGATGGATGGGCTACAGGTGAAGACCAAATGACATGCTGTATGAACAAAGGTTTTTCAGCAAGTTAAATAAAAAAAAGCGGTGAGAGAGGTGATTCTCTCCTACAGCAGGAAGTAGCATGCATGACAAATTAAAAAGATCCTGTGCGGTTGTAGGCCAGAACCATGTGTATCTGACAAGTGGCTATTTAGTTCAGCAAAATTCTAATTTCATTGGTTTTTGGTTTTGTTTGTATTTAATTTGTATTCATTCTTTCATCAAATATTTATTCTTTGGCTTTTATTATTATATAAGAGATTTACGATAGAGTTTATGCCTAGTTTCATGTGTGAATGTTTAAGAAACAGAATACAATAATTTAAATCCATCCTAGGGGTCTGCAAGAATGGTTTTATTTAAAAAAAAATACATTTCTCAATTTTTAGCAACACTCACTTAGATATTCATCATCCTCTACCTGCCTTACAGGTTAGACTTAGCAAATAAAGATCTATTATAAAGCTACAGGCATAGCTGGTGTGTAGACACAGATGGTGGTGCCCCAGCTCTAAAGGCCCATTGCTTTATTGATCTTTGCTATTTGTTTTCAGCTTATAGGAACTCCACCTGGGTGCTTAAAACAAAACAAAACAAAACCTTTTGTCTCCTTGACAAATTATTCCCAGTTCCTAAAAGATTAATACTAATAAATAACACAAATGCACCAAGAATATATTTAAAGGACCAGGCAGCTGCTGAGCCCCCACACTTTTCAAGCTCACAGTTCACAGAGAAAATGTTCTTCCAAAGAAGAACCTGGCTGTGGTTATACATTAGAACAAGTATCCTTCTAGGAAGTGAGCTCAAGAGCCCAGAGCAACATGGGAAACAAAACTGTTATCACCTTATCAGGTTTCACTGCAGCATTAAGGAAGCAGAAAATTACTGTCGTGCTCAAGGAGGACACCTGGCTTACCCGTGGAACCAGGAGGTTCAAGATCTCATCCAGCGCTTTCTGGAACAAGGGAAGAAGTGGTGGATTGGGCAAAATTTAACGCCGCTAGGAAAACATAAAGAAAAACACAACCCAGGTAAAGCTCTGAGGTTTAGTGCGTGTGAAGGAAACTTCCTTACTTTTATTCGGGGACAGGAGAAAGAAAAAAGTTTAACTCTTTCTCCTTTGTATACAGAAAAATCAGTCACTTTACTTCATTCCCATCATTCCACTGGAATATTTCCACTTTTGTACTGCAGCCTCTGATTTGTCTGTGTAGCAAAGACGATGAGATTTTTCTCAGAGCCTATCAAAAGTTAATTTACCGAATACTTCACTAAAAGTATTATGCAAGATTCTGAAGTGGGAAACCTTTTATGGTCACTTTTTTCCTGGTAAGTCTCTCTTCATCATTCTTGGCTCCAAGCTTCCTAATGTAAAAACTAGGAGAGAAATTATTTGCCTATTGTCTTTGTTACATAGATATTTTCAGAATTATACACCATAATCTTGTGGTCTTAGAGAAAAATCCAAGGTGTTATATCATCATCGTCATCTTCATTGAAGTCTAGGTAAATGAAAGCCAAGCCTTATGATAAAGAGCACACAATATGAAAAAATAAACTATAATATGTGGGGGGAAATCCTAAATTTTCATCTATCAACAGCTAGCAAAATTTTGTTTTCATAGTTACTTTAAAAAAATGTTTGACTTTTGAGTAGGAGGCTCATCTGGGTCTGATCTCCCTTCAGCAGGTGTCACAGCCCACCAGGCCACAGAGCCCGCCAGCTGCACTTACGTGTCCAAAAACTCCCATCAGATCTCATCCAAAGTGGACTTATGCTCACAGAGGCATTATTTCATTTGCCAGGCTGGTAAGTGATTAAGCTACATCCTGCCAAAGACCCAACTTTTAGAAACTGATTCTAAATAAGGAGAGCACGTGAGAGTATTAAGAGTCTATGAGTGATAGACCATAGGGTGGATATAGGGATTTTTATTTTCCTGATATTGATTAGAGTAAGAAACTGTGTTCCCTCGCAGAGACTTCCTTACTCATCCCACACTGGTAGTTGGGAAGAGTTGTGCCTTGATGTTCCCTTCATTTCTTGACTTGGGCAGAGTGTGGGAGAAAGTGTATTGGTAAGCTCCATTGTCCACATATACAACCCTAATCCATTCAGTCCTTGGGCTTTAGAAGGAGGAATAAGAAGCAAAGGAAGAAAAGAGAATATAGTGTAGGAAAATGAGATGAAAGGTGAGAAGGTTGTTATCAGTTAGAGGTTTGCTTCCTCAGAAGTAGGGGATCAGAATTGAGGTGTGCGCACGTGTGTGTGTGTGTGTGTGTGTGTGTGTAGTTGAGTGTTTTTTTTTTTAAATAAGCAATGTTTTTCGTAGTGGTGATTATATAAAGCATTTATTCTTAGCTCAGTGAATTCTCAGAGACCTTATGATGTCTCAGACAGTCTAGGGAAAAATTTTGTTTCATTTTTTAAAAAATCACAAATGCATTCTTATTAAAATGTGAAGCATCTATAGGTGCTTTATAAAACAGAATACCTTGTGATATTTCTCTATTACAAGAAAAGAAAAAGATTACCTTCCTCAAATACAGGGTATTGAAAGGACGTATTATTTCAAGGTAATGAATTTCTAACTTCAAATCTCTCATTCTTCACCCTTTCAAGCTCTCTGTGATATTTTTGTCCTATCTTGCCATATAGCGTGCTATTGGTAATGAGGCCAAAGTTGTGTGCCTCATCTCTGCACAAGTCAAGTGGTCATGTGTTTCATTCTCACAAACTGCATCCGTAATAGTGGCCAGACATCTTACAATTGTGAACTACTTTTCGTCATCATGAGAGGTTCTTCAGCCCAACCCATCTCCAGGACAGCAACCCCAACTACAGCTTAAATGATGATGATTAACTATCCATTTTCACTCTCCAGGAGTTGAGTTCTTAGATGTTCTCAACTACTCTTGGTTTTGGAGTGAAAATTCATTTCCTGATATTATCATTCATGTACAGCCATGAACCGCATAATGATGTTGTGGTCAATGACGGACCACATATATGATGGTGGTCTCATAAGTACCATATAACCTAGGTGTGTAGTAGGCTATACCATCTAGGTTTGTGTAAGTTCACGCTATGATGTTCACACAACAACGAAATCGCCTGATGACGCATTTCTCAGAACGTTATCCCAGTCGTTAAGCGACACGTGACTGTACTTGCAAGAGATTACTGCTATGGAATATAGAATGTCTGTGCAGAAGATAATCATGGACAAAAATTAATTAATTCAATTAATCTAAGCCAGTTTTGCAAATTCTGAGCCTATATTTCCATAATGAGAGGAAGTACGTTACTGCAGTTAAGAGCTTGCGCTCATAGTCAGACTTCCTGAGTTCATACCTTGATTCCATGACTTTCCAGTGGTGACAACTGGGCAAGCAACTTACCCTCTGTGCAGCCCAGTTTCCTTCAAAGGATTGTTATGAGGATTAAGTAAGATAATACAGGTAAAGTATTAGAACAATGCCTGGCATAATATTGTAATTATTACTGTTAATATTATATTATTGTGCAATTTCTATTTTTTGTACTAAGTTTATTTTCTGCTTCTAGATAGCTTCACATTCATGTCAAAGGTGAAAACACTTTTGGAGATCCGATATTGCTAGTTATCTTTAAAACTAAAGTATTGGCACAATGTAATTGCTTAGAAGTATTCAGAAATAACTTTTATTATCATTGTGTTTATACATTTTATTATGAACTTAAGAAATGCCTCTTCCAAAATAACATGTTGGTGGGAGAAGTATTTGTAAATTTGTTCCTTAGCATTCAAAAGAGAAGTCTAGTGCATCACATTATCATACAGTATTACTGAGGGTGCAGATTAACTTCATCTTACTGGAATAAACTCATGATTTTCCTTCATTTATTAAAAAAGTCAACAAAAACACTGAAAAATTAAGCTCACATATCAAAGTATTCCTTTCTAAGAGATTTTTATTTTCAGAACATTGGAATAAGAAGTAACAGTTTGTGTTAAAAGTGCTATTGTAATAGGGTTGACATTCAGTTTGTGTGTACCGAGACAGCCATACTGGTTGTGAAAGCTTTGGAATACTTCCATGCCATTGGCAAAGTAAAATAATATTATAAACTCATTACTTCAAAATAATTATCATAGGATGACACAGCAACCATTGATAAATGGAGTTCTGTCCTAGCGGCACCTGAAAAATATTTGTAGCTCTATCTGCCATCTTGGCTGAGATCACAGTGTTGCACATCCTTTGAAACATTCTTGTGCTTTAGCAGAATCATCAGTTTATCATTATCCTCAAATTACATACAGTTACAATCGTCATCCATAGGAAGAAAAATAAACCTTGACCTAGGTCTCACAGCTTATAAGAAATTAACTCAAAATAGACCACAGACTATGTAAATTTTAAACCTACGAAAAAGGAGAAAAAAACAGGAGAAAATCTTTGGGACTTAGGAGTAGGCAAAGAGTTTTTAGTCTTGACACCAAAAGCACAGTCTATAAAAGGGATAATTGATAAATTAGACTTCATCAAAATTTTAAAAGCTTTTGCTCTGAGAAGGACCCTATTAAGAAGAGGAAAGATAAACCACAGACTGGGAGGAAATATTTGCAAACCACACATCAGACAAAGGATTTGTATCCAGACTATATAAGGAACTCTCAAAACTCAGCAGTAAAAAACAGACAACATAATTTGAAAATGAACAAAAGACATGAAGAGGCATGTCACTGAAGAGGATATACAGAGGGCAAATGAGCCCATGCAAAAATGTTCAACAGCTTTAGCCATTAGGGAAATGCAAATGAAAACCACAATTTTCATTTGGGAGCTATCACTACCCACCTGTCAGAATGGCCAAAAAAAAAAAGTAGTGACAACACCAAATTCTGGTGAGGATGCAGAGAAACTAGATCACTCCTATATTGTTGGCGGGAATGTAAAATGGCACAGCCACTCTGGGAAACAGTTTGGCAGTTTCTTAAAATGCTAGACATACAACCCAGCAACTGTACTCCTGGGCATTTTTTGCAAAGAAATGAAAACCTATGTTCACACAAAAACGTGTACATGAATGCTTACAGCAGCTTCCTTCATACTCTCTGTGTACTGCAAGGGGGTTATCTCTATAATACATTTTTTTAGTGGGAAAAAAGCAAGCTGCAGAACAATGTATATAGTATGCTACTTTAATCTACGAAAGGGGGTAATGTGAATATATATGCATATATATGTACATATATATAACATAATAGAAAAACAAACAAAAACTAATAAAAATGATTATCTATGGGGAAAGGAAGGAATAAGGTGGAAAGAACAAAGATCGAATTTAGACCTTTCCAAGTGTACCTTGTTTAACAGTTAGGACATTGGAACTCTATAAATATTTTACATAATAAGAAAACAAACTTAAATCAAAAGGAAAAAATGCAATCCCTAGAAGTAAGGAAAAAGGGAGAGAGCGGGAGAGGAATTAGACGTAGCAAGTTTAGACAATTTTTTAAAGGAATTTTGCTCAGGAGCAGGAATGAACTGGAGCAATAGTTCATGAGGCAATGTAAGTTGGTGGGGTTTTTTTTCTTAAGATGGAAAAAGCCTGCTGGAAGGGTGTCTTTGATCTGAGCCAGTGCGCAGCTAGAGGGATTCGCTGTGGGTGGGAGCACGGAGAGCTAGTAGTAACAGGAGAGAGGGTGGTTTCTGTGTGTACAGATGCTGGTAGGTGGCAGATGTGGTGGCAGGAGTCTGTGGAAAGAACTCTTTTAATTGCTTGCATTTTCTCCTTGAGGTAGAGAGCAAGGTTATCACCTGAGCTGAAAATGAGGATCAGGGAGACTCCTAGTTGTTGGAGGAAGTGGAAAGGTCTTCTAGGAGAGCAGAAGAGTGAATAGATGAGGGGAATACAGTCTTTTTGCCAGGTGGCTCGAAGGCAGGCCACTCGAGGTTGGTGATCCTGCATTTGACCTGAGATATGGTCAGTGAGGTTGTAGGCTTTTCTCTAGCCGTGTTCACCACCATGTGTGAGAAACAGCAAAGTACACAGGAGGCACGCTCAAGAATGTTACTGCCCACCTTCTGAACTCTTATCTCTACCAATAAGAATTATAGAACACAAAGGAGAGTGTTATACTTAGAATATAATTTCTTAAAATGAACTTAATTCTCTGTCTTAGTGTTGACCCAACCGGTGGACCTAATTTTGAGATGTTGGAGAGTGTAAGGTGACATGACTATGCTCAGAGCACAAGAGCTACTTCAGAATTCCTATGTTATTGTTCTTAAAAAAAAAGAACTGGATAGTAATCTTTAATTTGTGTTTTCTTGATTCTCACATCTGTGCTTGTAATGCTTATTTATAGACTTAAATCTAGAGCTATATCCTATAAATTAACTTTTACCCTGGCCTCCAAATAGATGCCCTTTCGGACCAAGATGCCAGTTATGAAAGAAATGGAATTAATTCTCATTTACTTTGGAGACCCAAGAAGACAAAAGCAGAAATGGCAATAACGAGAGACAAAATGACCTCAGGTACTGTGTAGCGAAATCAATTCCTGCCTTAATGGGTACATGTACTGAATTAATGCTGAAATGTGTCGTGATAACATGCACCTGATACATATTCGTTGCATTCTATTGTGTCTGATCTTAATATTGCAATCTTTGCTTTCAGTTTATATATACTTGTTTTCTTGATATATCCTTGGCCATCTTCTTTTCACATATGCCCAAATAAAAGATAAGGATTTTTTTCCCATAAAAATTTCCATCAAAAAAGAAAGTCGTCTTGACAAAGTCCTTGCAGAGTCTTTCAAATTGTGCTGTTGTCTCTCTTTTTTTTTTTTTAATTTTGAAAAATAAATACTATTTGGGGAAGGTGCATTAGCCCTAAATGACCTCAATCAATATCAGTGATGGACGATTACTATAGAGATCACCTGACAGAATGGGTGGAAAAAGAGACAAATTTAAAGTGGATCTAGTGATTGTTCTTAACGGTATGACCTCATAACTTCAAGTTTTAGATGTCCTTGTCAACAAACTCTTTAGGTATCCCTTAAAAGAGCAATTTAGAAAGTGTTATTGTTGTAGAGACATGAATATATATCTAAATGTAAAACTCAACTTTTCTGAATGCTTTGTAAATGGGTACTTGTGAGTTGGGGAAAAAATGTTTAGTGATTGCACTGGATGGAAGTAAAGATGACGTATTTGGGAAAACTGTTAAAAAATTCCAAAAGTTGTTCTGATTATAATGAAAGCGGTAATGTCGAAGATGCATTTGAAAAGTCTGAATAAAGCTATATCACGAAATGTGAGTTTCATGAGAGCAATGCTTCTAAATTAATATACTACTTTATGTAATGTGATTTTAAATATGCCTTTGTAAAACTAAATTACTAAATTAAATAAGTAGACATTTGACTGTTTCACCAATATCCTTCAAGTTTATATAGTTGTTTTGCCCCAAAAATAACTTTTTAAAAATCTCCTACCTGAGAAACAGAGGAGATTGCCTTATTTGGGGAGTTGCCTTATATTTATGTATGTATGGTCCTTTAAAAATTTTATGTCACTTTGTTTTAAGTGTGTCCTATTAAATTTCATGTAAATAGATCTATGAATTTTACACATAGAATTTTTTTATAGTAGAGTTTACATTTAATTTTATTTTAATAACATCACTTCTTGCTTGTTCTATGCTTTCTGGTTCTAATGCTTGCTTGCTACTTTGTTCTGTCTTTTGTTGAAATTTTCCTCTTCAATATTCTTGTTTTAATTGTTAACCCTCAAGGAGTTGTTCTTTTTAATAACACATTCTTATACCTATGTTTTTTCTGATTGTCTGGCTCAGCAATGAAACAGTCTCTTTTGAAACCCCCTCATCTGGTTATAAGAGTATACAGCACATCTTAGTTTCTCCCCTCCTCACTGTTACTCCCTAGATTTTGTTAGTATATTCTGTGGGTTTTATTCAAGTTATTGTTATATTAAATTATTTTTTATATTATACAACTTCTCTTAAGAAGACTTTTTAAAAACTTTTATCAAAACCACATTTCCAACAACTTAGAACTTAGATCTATTTTAACTCGTTTCATATTTATCACTAGTCATTTTATACCCTAATTTTACTTTTCTTGAGTTCTTAATTTTGTCTCCTCTCTATTCCAATTGTCTTTTCAATAAAGATCTATTGTTGGAAATATTTTGGGAACTCGTGTATAGTCAAGAGATCTTTCTTGTCCTTTCCCAATAAGCCATACTTTAGCAGGGTATACAAGTTAAAACAAAAGCCAAAATGGTAGCTTAAATAAATCAAGAGTTCATTTCTCTTTCACATGACAGTCTAAGGAGGCAGCCCAGGGCTGATAGGATGGCTCCCTGTTTCATGAGACCCAAGCTTGCTCTTCCTTGTTCTGCCATCATCAACTTGTAACTTCCATTTCATGGTCTATAAAAGCTCCTGCATCCATGTTCAAATTCCAGCAAGTGGGATGGGAAGAAGGGAAAGTGGGGGACCTGATCCTTTCTTTTTAAGAGCACAGCCTGGAAATTGCGCCTATTACTTCTTATCATATCGCGTTGGTCAGGACCTGATCACATGGCCACACAGGTGCGTGCAAGGAAGGCTGGGAAATGTAGTCCTTGGCTGGGCTACCATGTTCCCATAGAAGAAAGGGAGGACACAGTGGGGAATAATCAACAGTCTCTGCAATGAAAGGGCTATATTTCCTTCGTCACAGTCTTCCCTTCAAAACCCTGTAGACATCGTTTCCTTGTCTTTTGGCATTTAATGCTATAGTGGAAAAAACTAAGGTTAGCCTTTTTTTTTTAAATAGGTAGCTTTTTTCCCCCTATCAGATTGCATGTAGAATTTTTAAATCCTTGTAGTACAGAAATTTTCTTAGCATGTATATAGGTTACTTTTCACTGATTTTGCCTTGAATGTGATGTTATACATACACATCTTTCTTGGCTAATCCAAGTTTTATTCTATTCTACCTATTTATCAGTTCTATTTCATTTGTTCTCGTTTTGTCCTTAAGAAATACCAGTTATCTATGTGCTGTATTGTAGATTTCTGTCCTTCATATATTTCCTGTCATTCTTTCAAATGAAAAGAATGGTCTCATATTTATCACTATCTCTGTTGCATTCTAGGAGAACTCCTCACATTTACCCTCCATATCACTGATTTGATTTTTCTGCATCAGTACTATTCTGTATTATTCCAGTGTGGATTTTAATTTTTCTGTAGCATTTTAGTTTCCTTGAAATCCTCTCATATCATTTATTTCTCTTTTAATATATCTCATTCTTGTGCATTTTAGCTTCAGTTGGTTTATCTTAAGGTTTTCTGTTCCTATTAAGGATGTTAAATATCTTTCTGAAATATTTTTCTGGATTTTTCTGTTGATAATTTTCAGAGATATACTTTCCCCTGAGTCCTCTGGATTCAATTCCCAGGTTCTAGAGTGCTATTCATAGGCTTCCTTTTATTGTTTTTTTCCTTATCTTTTAAGGCAAGCTCTGTCCAAACATGTTTGTCAGTAGACCAAGAAATTGGATCACCCTTAATTCAGCTGACTATGAGCTTTTCTAGTGGTCATAACCCCTTTTCAGAGCCACAGTTGAAGTGCAGGGTCAGTTCCCTGTTCCCAGCAGGCTGTTGACCTAATGAAATGGCTTTAATTTTCACATCATTAAATATTATTATACCCATTCTACAGATGAGAAAACTAAGAAGTTAACTCATTTGCTCAAAGCTTCATAGTTGCCGTAATAAAAGGCAAACCAGCTCTGGAATGCAGGCTTTCTAACTCAAAATCCAGTTTCTTTCTTCTACCCTCCATCCTGTTTGCCTTGATAGAAAGACATAGCATCTGATCAGAAAGACATCTCAGAACTCTTTCCTCTCCCAGCAGTAGTAGCTGCAATGATTTTGTTGCTAAATGTACTTACTAGTCCGATGAACAGCAGAGGGAATGTTACAAGATAGAAAGGGCAAAGTAGGCATGCTATTGCTAGGTAAATTGTAATGGGTCTGGACTTTCATGCCTTGAAAGAAGTCAACCTAAGTTAATAGCAAATAGGCATGTTAACACACTGATGTTCTCTTCAGATTATGGTTTTCTTACTAGAAAATGCGGGAAGAGAATGAAAGCAATAATGGTGATCTGGTAAAATGTTGTAAATGATCACTTTCCAAAAGTCTATCAGAAATATGCCCCAATTTATTAATAAAGAGCTCCTCTTCTTGGCAAAATTATGAGGCATATATTTCTGCAGTAATGTTTATATGTCAGCAAATTTATGATTGATTTGATTTAGTATTTGTTTTTATACAGAGGGTCTTTGAAGAGTAAGCAAATGGATTAGACATTAGTGATTTGTAATGCTTCAGCCCCAGAATTCTAGCTTGTCTCCAGATCTATCAACAGTGGAGCAGGATCGCTTTGATTTCCTATGTAAAATGATTTGCGTTGTTTTTAGCCAAGAATAAGACATCCTCAGATAAAATAGAAAGAAATATTTCTATCCTAGGCTTTGACTTGAACCTAATCTACTTTCTTTTTTCTATAGCAGCCACTAATTGTTCATCTATGTGTCACCAACCTGCTCGTCCTAATCCGGTAAGTACTACCCTTCACAACACGCATCTTGGCAGATTGTTCTCTTTGTCATTCCTGGTGGGTCCTGCCAGAACTCTCCTCTGTCTCGCTGAGTGCTCTACATATAGTTTTCTAATAAGGAAAGGAAAGTACTTAAGTGCAGGAAAGAATCATATTTAATGGATGCTTTATTTTTTTATTTTATTTTATTATTATTATTATTTTTTTTTTTTGGTGAGAAAGATCGGCCCTGAGCTAACACCTGTTGCCAATCCTCCTTTTTTTGCTTGAGGAAGATGGGCCCTGAGCTACATCTGTAGCAGTCTTCCCTGTTTTGTATGTGGGGTACTGCCACAGCATGGCTTGACGAGTGGTATAGGTCCACACCCAGGATCTGAACCCACGAACCTGGGCCGCTAAAGTGGAGCGTGCCAAACTCAACCACTACGCCACCAGACAGACCCCTAAGGGATGCTTTATTAAAGAATTTTTTAAAGCCGATCTTTGGCTTTCATGTTGGTATAATTATCATTTGTTGGTTGGTTGGTTGTTTATTCCCTATTTCATTCCAAAAAGGACTTGTGGCATCTTGCAAAAATATATGCAGTGCAATAAAATTTTTTTTTTAATTTTTAAAGGAAAAATAAATCTGAGTGAAAGGAAAATAAAGGTAGAAACTTTGCATAATCTATAAAATTTTACCTTCAAGAGATTTCTCAGCCTTATGCCTTTGTGTCCCACGTAGAAACCTTTCAGTGGATGTCTAAATAGAGATTTACATTTATTTGATTCATTGTAAAAAAAAATAATAAGTGTTTCTAGCAGCATAAAAGAGAACAGGGATGAAGTAAAAATCCCTTAAGTCAGTACAGTCAGCCCCCCGTATCCGTGGGTTCGGTTCTATGTTCACAGATTCAACCAACTGTGATGGAAAGGCCTGAGATGGTTGTGTCTATACCGAACATGTAGACTTTTTTCCATGTCACTTTTCCCTAAACAATACAGCATAACAACTATTTACATAGCATTTACACTGCATTAGGTATTATAAGTAATCTAGAGATGATTTAAAGTATACGTGAGGATGTGCATAGGTTCTATGCAAATACTACTCTATTTTATGTAACAGACTTGAGCATCCGCAGATTTTGGTATCCCTGTGGATACTGAGGGATGACTGTATTTCCCAAGTGAGGTTCTGCAGAATGATCACCAACATTGCTTAAAATGATGCCGGAAGGAAAGAAAGAAAAGGTTGTTGACTGCAGCACTTCTCAGAGCCTTCATGTGCCCCAAACCTAACCACTTCTCACCTTCTTCACCGTTATCACACCCCAGGCCAAGCCACCATCATCTCCCATCTGAACTTTGCATCTGCCTCCTACTGAGCTCCTTGCTTCTCCCCTCAACGTTTTTCTGTCCATTCTCAACACGGCAGTCAGAGGGATTCTTCAAAAGGAAGTCAGACCATGCTACTGCTCCTCAGAGCCCCCGGTGTCTTCCCATGTCAATCATACTCTTCTCAATTGCCTGACTTATAACATGCTCGCCCCACCCCCATCCCTCATTCCCACCCTACTCCTAGGATCTTTTTGATTTCCCCAGTTCCCACTTTTGCACATCTAGCCTCCTTGTTCTTCCTGAAACAAGCCCAGCTGTGGCCTCAGGGCCTTTGCACTTCTCAAATGCCCTTCCCCAATATTTTGGCAGAGCTTTCTCTCTCCCTTTATTCAACTCTCAGCAAAAATGCCCTCTCTTGACATCTGAGCACCTTTTTGTTCATCTACTTACCCTTATTTTTTTCTTCCCTTTATTCAATACATGCTATAATTTGTCTCTCTGTCTCCACCACTAAAATGGAGGCTCCCTGAGGACAAGAACTTGGCTCATTTTCTTCATTGTTGTATCCCTAGTTCCCCAGAACATTGCTTAGCACTTGGTAGATGTTTAATTATGACTGGTTGACAACAGATACACTAATGTACTTGTGAATCCTACAGAGGGTAATATAGTATACTGCTTTCTCAAAACTGTTTGAGCACGAGATCCTTTTGAGAAAAATGTCTCTTAATATCTCACAGGACATGGGAGTTCCAGAGCAATTTTGGAAACACTGTCTTAATTATTCATTATTTCGTGAAATCAGATTCAGCCTTTTCCTTTGGCTATTTTTATCTTTTAGTCCAAGACCTTGTGCCATCCCGTCAGCTCATTTCCTTCAAGACCACCCAAAGTCACACCACAGGGAGTATCAGTCACGTCTATACCCACCAGCCAGCCTCTCCTTGTGAAAGCAGAGCTCACCAGGCCTGCGTCTGTCACACATGCTGAAAAAGCTCCGGTGGAAAGAACCCCAAACCCCACAGAGGACTCGGCTGCAGACGTCTTCACCACTCATCTACGAGCCTCACTTCAGGGTGCATCCCATCAGGTAAACACGGAAAACTGAAGTCACAACTGGGAACCCTTGTGACACTGAAAAGGCACTTTTATTCTTTCCTTCTGTTTTGGTGATGTTTCAGAATAGTGATGCTGGGAAGGAGCCAGGTTCACCCTTTACCTCCAAGCAGAACGACACCTAAGAAGGCCTAACAGACAAGCATCTATTCCAGTTAAAAGCAAAAACAAAACAAGCCCATGAAAATATTCCACAATGGGGTTTTATACTCATTTCAATATTTAATGTCTGATTATCCTTTACTGCTGTTATGTTTAGTGCTTCAGATGGGGAGGAAGCTTTGCTCACCTGCCACACTTTTTCAGCAGCAGCAAACCCTTCTAGACAATTCTTCCTACTCACCAACTCACCCCTTTCACCATTCTTCCCTTTTCCCCACAAACTTAAAAAAAAAGGCAAAGCCACTTTGACAATGTTGACTGAAGAAAATCATCCTGCTTTTCCCCATTTTTTGTTAACACAAGCCCTACTTCTATGCAATCTCACATTTCCCTGTGAAAAATAATCCTGTTTACTCTGGGTCTGCTTTCATTGGTAATGGAAACTAGATGTTCACTATTGCCTCTGTTAGCATTGTGTTCTCCTGGGAGAAAAAACTGACCCAGGGTAGCTTAAACAAAGAGTGTATTGTTTTCCTTAAATAAAAAGAAGTCTGAAGTATAGAACATCCAAGAGTCTACAGATAAATTATTAGAAACATAAAGAGAATTTAGTGATGTTGCTGAATACCAGATCAGTATACTAAAGCTAACTGTATACATATTGGCAACAATCAGTTAGAAAATTAGATTTAGGGGCTGGCCCCGTGGCTTAGCGGTTAAGTGCAGGCGCTCCGCTGCTGGTGGCTGGGTTCGGATCCCGGGCGCGCACCGATGCACCGCTTCTCCGGCCATGCTGAGGCCACGTCCCACATACAGCAACTAGAAGGATGTGCAGCTATGACATACAACTATCTAGTGGGGCTTTGGGGAAAAAAAAAAGAGGAGGATTGGCAATAGATGTTAGCTCAGAGCCAGTCTTCCTCAGCAAAAAGAGGAGGATTAGCATGGATGGTAGCTCAGGGCTGATCTTCCTCACAAAAAAAATAAAATAAAATAAAAAAATAAAAAAGAAAATTAGATTTTAAAAAGAAAAGATACTACAGCGAGTACCTAGGAGTAAGTCTAACCAAAGATGAGTAGAATTTCTATGGAGACGACAATAACGCTTTATTAAGAGACATTAGAGAAAGGCTAAGGAGGTGGTGAGATCTTCCGTGATTTACCCCAGGGTACACATTCTGCTCTAATGTATCAAACAAGGCATCCTCAAGGACCTACCTGGGTGTAGCTAGAATGGCTTTAAATAAGACCTGACCTCCATTGGCAAACGCACAGGTGGGTGACAACTGTGTCTCACTGACATCTGCATTCCTACTTGTTTACACCTCAGTCCTAAAGTGTAAAACCAAAAATCAGGTGGTCTTCAACTCTAAGATCACTCGACACCTGATCCAACCTCCTACAAATCCTACGAGCCAGGAATAACCCTATTCAATTGTGTGGTCCATGAGGGCAGGATCATAATTGACCTTTACTGCTCCAACTCCTGAGCCTAACAGTAGGCGTTGAAAAAGGATTTAATGAATGTGTGATTGAATTAAGCAATAAGTGGGTTGTTCTATAGAAATCGAACCAAGTGGTTGGTGTAAACAGAGTATCTCAGGGTTGGACTTCAGTTCAAAAGAAGTAGCTGCTTAAGCTTTGGGACCATGCCCAGTGTTCCGGGTTTGTTTTCTCAGAGGGGTTTTCTGCCTCCCACCTCCTGCCATGTGGTATTTCAAGTACTTCCCTCTTGAACCTGAACTCTTGAGTTGAGGGAAACAGACACAGTGGGAAACCCGAGGGGGTAAACATACTTCTGAATAGAAGAGTTTATTTTCGTTGTTTTGATTTCCAGGTTTCCCTCACTTTTGATCATGGCCTGGAGACTTAAACTTACTCTTATAAATCATATTTCCAGTCTCCTTTGTCCTTGGGTCAATCATTGTATCACCTTGTTATCCATTTTCTCTACTGTATGGAAGAGGTGAAAATAAATTCTACCCATTTGCAGAAAAGCTTCTGACAGTAATAACTGTTATGGAGAGTCTGTGATTCATAGAGTTTGTAACGTTATCAAAGGTCAACTCTTGTTAAAACAATGTCTCAAACTACTAAAGGGCAATAATTTTATGTAAATAATTTTGACAAAATCCTTTTTCCCCAATAGGTCATAGATGAGACACCAGGGAACTTTAGCAAAGCAATTCCTAGTTTGCAAGCTCACAACACACTACAGAAAGCTTGTGACGTGCTCCAGAAACTGACAGCCGTTATCCCCGGATTTTCTGAGTCAGCTCAGGTAAGCAGAGGGTGATCGGGAGGGAACAAGCTCTGACAAACGGGAAAGTGAAAAAGAGAAAATGTATAATAAAATAGACAATATGTAATCTGAGGATTGTACCCTGTACAGAATTTAGCATTATAAAACTATTTTGTGGAGAGTCAATTTAAATATTAACAAGTATATTTGTACCTTTAAACCTGAAGATTGTGAAAAAATTGATCAGTAGTGACATCCTCAGCTATGCTGTGTTTATTTTCTCTTGTTCATTTATCACGTTACTGCCTTTCTGATATATTTGATAGGAGAAATCATGGGAGACAAAAATAGATCCACTGCTTCTCATAGATACAGGATACGGCCTTGAAACAGGATCAAAAATCAGTATCCCCATGATATTTGCGTTTGTTGCAAGCACGCTTGCAATGTTGCTTCCCCGTAATTATTCATGCCTCTTTCTACTCCCTACATAAGTAAATTAAGGTGGTGAGATTAGTGAGAATTTTAATTTTCTTTTTTCCATTTCCTATATTTTCAGATATTCTGCAATAAGCATATAAATGCCACCTGTATTGGGTTTGTTGAACTTTTTAATTACAGAAATAATATATGCTTGTTATTTAAAAATCAGAACAAAAGCATATAAAGTAAAAAGCAAAAGCCCTCACCATCTTTGTCCTTCCTGCTAATTCTGTTCTCTAGATATAATCACTGTTATTAGTTTACTGTTAATTTGCCGTGCATAACCTTCCAAACTTTTTTCTATGCATACAAAGTTTGTTGTTTTGGTTTTTTTTTAAGCAAAAGTGGGGTTAAAGTATACAAATTTTTCTGCCCCTTGATTTTTTTACTTAACACTGTCGTGGATAGCTTCTCGTGTCAGTACACGTAAGTGAACTCATTATGCTTAATGTTCATACGGATATTTTTTGTTTACCCTTGCAAATAGTATATCCGTGAACATCCTAGTACCTACGTCTTTGAGTAGTTAACGCAAGGATTTCTGTGGGATAGAGAGCTACAAATAAAGTTGATGGGCTTTTAAATTTTCAATAGATGACAAAATTGCCCTCCTCAAAGCCACTGTTTTGCATTCCCACCAACCATTTCCCCACACTTATTTTTACCAATTTCAAAGGCAAGGAAGAAAAGCATTTTATTGAGCACTAAGGCGGTTGAATATCATTTTACGTATTTACCTGCCATTTTTATTGCTCCTCTGAATTGCTTCTTCATGTCGTTCATCCATTTGTCCCCCATTGGATTGTTTGTCTTTCCCTTATTTGTTTGGAGAAGAGCTTTAGTTATTATTGATGTCAACCTTTTGTTGCGTATGTTGCAAATATTTTGTGCCCCTGTCTTATTTTTAACTGTGTTTATTGTATCTTTTATTTTGCAGAAGTTTTTAGTAAATGTATCTTTGAAAATAAATAACATTTCAAAACAAAAATAATAGTACCTACAGTAGATATTCAGTAAATATCTGTCAATTTGCTTAACCTTCTTATTTGACTTGTTTTACATGAGAACAACCTACAGAAAGGAGAATTGAGGTTTTCTGTTTCATTTAGAACTTCCCCTTGATCTCTATTTTAAGTCTATCTTGAATGCTTTTGAGGCCCTACCTACAAAGGTATAGTCTACTCAGTATTTCAGTCAGCATTGCTCTTTTCCTCGGCATTCCTTTTGTTAGCTTAGTTTTGTTAATTAGATGTTTGATCTACTTATCACTCAAAAAGGATCATGTCAGTTTCTTAGAATAATCTGAAATACGAATCCTCCCCATAGGTCATATGTAATAATATATTTTCCTTCCCTGCCAAGTTGTAATATTGATTTTTATAAAACTGCATTTGAAATGTGCAAGGAACACTGAACTCCTTATAAGAAGAACACAAATAAATTTAAAACCATCATAAACAGTTCAGGGATGAATCTTTGCTTCCTAAAATTCCCAGGTCGATGTCATCGGTTCCCTTATTTACCTGAATGAGCAATTACTGAAGAGCCCATTTCAGAACAACAGCAATCTGGGCTTCAAAACTTCTGCGACCGTCTGCCTCTTTCACTCCCCCAACAGTGTAATAGAAGCTGGTGAAGCAAGTCAGCAAAGGTCCAAGCATGACGTTGAACAGGTTGGTGAAGTATACACCAGTGGCCAACTCTGTTTAGAAACTTTTTAATCTTGACAGATCCAGGTATCACACAGCCTCTCCCTAAACTTCTACAGAGAATTCAGCTAAGTATGCACCACTGAAAAGACCACTCTGTCAAGCCTGCTCCAGGGTCTTCCTCTCTATTCCACCAGTGAGCCAAGAGTACCTAGTGCTGTAATCCAGTGCAAAGAATTTAGTCAAGTGCTTGGCACATGGTAAATACTCAATAAATGAAATTTGCTATTCACATGAAAAGATGTTCAACATCATTAGTCATTAGGGAAATGCAAATCAAACCACAATGAGATAGCACTTCCCATCCAAAAAGACAGACAATAACAAGTGTTGGCAAGGAGCTAGAGAAATTGGAACCCTCATACATTGTTGGCATGTAAAATGATACAGGCTCTTTGGAAAACAGTTTGACAGTTCCTCAAAATGTTAAAAATGGAATTACCATGTGACCCAGCAATTCCACTCTTTGGAATATACACATGTATGTCCACACTAAAACTTGTGTGGACATACGTGTGTATATGTTCTATCATATGTGGGGCCATATGATAGAATATTATTCGGCAACAAAAGAGAGTGAAGTGCTGATACATGCTACAACATGGATGAACCTTGGAAACATTATCCTAAGTGAAAGAAGCCAGTCACAAAAGACTGTATGTTGTGATTCCATTTATATGAAATGTCCAGAAGAGGCAAATCTATAGATACAGAATGTAGATTAGTGGTTACCTAGGACTACAGGGGATGGGGGCAGGAGAATGCACAGTGAGTGCTACCGGGTACTGGGTTTATTTCAGGGGAGATGAAAATGATCTAAAATTAGATCGTGGTGATAGATGCACTGTGAATATACTAAAAAATATTAATCATATACTCTGGGTGAATTGTATGTGTGAATTTCATTGCAATAAAGCTATTTTGAAAAAAGAACCTGTCATAAGCAAGTCTAAGGCAGCTTATATCATGAGGCAAAGAAATATTTCCGTGGGTGGCCCTCTTAGTTCATACAAAGGATGGCGAGTCTTGAGCCAGACTGCAAGTACTTTCTGTGGGTCCTTTCCAATGAATGTCACCCTTCATTACATCATTGTCAAGATCCTTGTTCCCCTTCCAACCCTCTCAAAATCATTATTTCACTCACACAATACACTGAAGTTACATGGTGTTTTCCTCTAAATGCAGGTAGAAAATATGCTGAACACGTCCTTGCTGGCCCTTGGTAAGATCCAGGAAGAATTTCTAGAGCAGAATAACGTCTCTGCGTCTTCGGTGACTTTGACCTCTTCGGTTGCTACTCTGATGCTGAGCAGGTAACAGAGGAGAAAGAAGGCGGAGAGTTTCATTTTAGGTTTTTGATCTTTAGAGAACACACAGAAATTGATTTCCATTGAACTTCTTTTTCATTAGCCAAAACGTATCAACTTTGCCTCTGAGCTCTTACACTCTGGGTTACCCAGCACCTGTGAGGTTAGGCTTTCCATCAGCTTCAGCCCTGGAGGAGCTCTTGAACAAACACCCAGGAGTTAACGTCCAGGTGAGAGTGAAACTGATTCTGATCAGAGCGAAAATGGGATTTGAGGGCTGTAGGCATTTAGGTGAAAGGAATGCACCTGCAATGTAGGCTGACCAGACCAAGTGAGAGAAGGTTGTGTGCCACTAATTTCTATCTTATGCTGGCAGGAATGGAGGCCTCTTAAAAATGATCCAGTATAGAGATTGGGATCATTCAACAGACTTCTGGATTTAACTAAGTTTCTATGTTATGATTCTAATTGGTCTCAACTCTTCACTATTTACACATAGCTTGGAATATCTGAATAATTATTGACTCAGTATACCAAGCTAGTCATATCAGTATGTTGTATTTCTTTCAGCAATTATCTACAAACAGAAGTAGGGTTGTTGCCTTATCCTGGAAGGCAGAATACTCACTTCCTAGTAAAGTAGAATCCTCCAGGTATAAAGATGTAAAAAAATAAGAATTCTGAGGGTTACAGGTAAATGACTCATCTTTAATTAATTCTTTCTCACATGATGTTATAATGAGAAATATTTCATTTGAGATATTAGCAAGGGGAAAATCCCAACATTTACTTTAATTTAAGATATCTGATGCCTTATTACCTATTGGGATGTTATTTATAAATATTTCGGCAATTGATGAGACTGGAGTTGTCTTGTCTCTAGGTAACAGGACTAGCTTTCAATCCCTTCAAGGATTTTGATGACAAGAACATTGTTGGAAGCATCGGAAGTGTGTTACTGAGCTCTAATCATAAATTGCTCCAAGTCCGTGATTTAATGGAAGATATTGAGGTATGACTTGATTATTAGGGAATAAAATAGAAGGAATAGGAATTCCTGGAGATTAGGATGGAAGGATGCAACACTTTAGACGAAATCATTTTAGATTTAAGGCAGTGCCATTGTTTTGTTATTCACATCTTTTTTTAGGAATTTTTCAGTGATCTACCTTTTCCTTAGGAGAAGGTGTTTTAAGTCTTAGACTATATACTCTCTCTTAACCCCTCACACTGTGTTACCTACTAATATTCAGAGAGGAAGACCTAGGAAGTTTCATTCCATTATCACTATAAAGGAGACTGAAAGGCATCAATGGATGGGCCATCTTAAACGTAAAGATTGATTAACTGTCTTTTTTTCTAGATCATGCTCTGGAGAAATATTAGCATGGAAACCCATCCCACCAGCCTCAACATGAGCACAGACCATTTTACTATTACAGTGAATGTCACTTCTCCGGAGAAATCCCTGATAGTGTGCATAGAGCCTGAAAGTCCCCTTTTAATGACACTCTACCTGGGGTTCCAGTATCAGCCTAACCACACTTCCTTCCACCTGAACATCACCCTTCCAAAGGATCAGGTGTGGCAAAAAGGTAAAACCCCAATCACATGTCAGAAACGTACCGTGGGCTGGCCCCGTGGCTTAGCGGTTAAGTGCGCTAGCTCTGCTACTGGCTGCCCGGGTTCGGATCCTGGGCGCGCACTGACACACCTCTTCTCCGGCCATGCTGAGGCCATGTCCCACATACAGCAACTAGAAGGGTGTGCAACTATGACATACAACTATCTACTAGGGCTTTGGGGAAAAAAAGGAGGAGGATTGGCAATAGATGTTAGCTCAGAGCCAGCCTCCCTCAGCAAAAAAGAGGAGGATTAACATGGATGTTAGCTCAGGGCTGATCTTCCTCACAAAAAAAAAAAAAAAACTTACCATAAAGTGCATTTTTTTCTTTCTTTTCTTTCACTTTTTATCTTGAGATAATTGTAGATTCACAGGCAATTGTAAAAAATAGAACAGAGAGATCTCACGTACTTTTCACCCAGTTTCCCCTAATGGTAACATCTGGCATGACTGTAGAACAAGATCACAGCTGGGAAATGGCATCGAAACAATGCCCTGATCTCATTCAGATTTCACCAATTTTACAAGCACTCATTTCTTTGTGTGGGTGTGTATTTAGTTCTATGTAATTTTATCAGATGTGTAGATATGTGTGACCATGAAATGCATTTTTAAAAAAAGATGGATTGTAGGATGTGTAGAAGGGTATATATGTGATAAAGCAAATTTAGTGAAATGTTAATTGTATAATCTGTGATTATATGAGTGTTCACTGTAAAATTCTCTCAACTTTCTGTATGGTTGAAAACTTTCATAATAAAATGTTAAGATTCCCTGCAGAAGTAAGTTCCAGCATGATGGGTCATATATACTTCAAATTTTATATTTCATAGATGAATATATATGCAATATATCACTTATATTTCCATTTTATTTCTAATCTTAGATATGGGTAAGGCCCAGAGATATCTCTGTAGGTCTTGGTACTTGGACCAGAATGACTACATTGTAGTTTAGAAAAGTTAAGAATTTCTGAGACATATATAAGTAGTTAAGAATTTCTGAGATATATAAATAGTGCCTAGATATACTTGACCAAAAAACATATCCTCTGGTTATAAACTTTAAATGTAGTACTGAAAAGTCTTAATAAAGAGCTACCCCTTTTGTGTTAAAAAAAAAAAATGTTGGGAAAAATAATCAGAATGAATAAAGCATATTATAGTCTCCCTTCATGAGAGTCTTCCCATGTGGAAGGAGCTTTTTCTGGCTCTCGAGTAGGCCTCGCTAACACAGGAATAATCACTTTTTAAGTGATTCTTCCCATTAGATAAAGCACCTGAGATAGCAGCTCGCACTGCCAGGCTGCCAGCTCAAGGTTCTGTCTGCATTACCAGCAGGCTCTTCCCCGATTCGGAACATGCGCTCCGTTCTTCCTGCTGGTCTTGGCAATAATATCGTGTCATTTGGAGCTGGAAGATCCTTTGGTCCAGACTTCTTGTTTGAAAGATGAGAAACCTAGAGAGATTGGGTGACTTGCCATAGCCCTTAACAGCCACCTGGTGACAGAGCCAGACCTGAAATCAGGCCTCTGGTGTGCAGTCCAGGACTTCTTCCCTGGGACCACTCTGTTCCTATCCTTGCTTCGTCCCTGGGTTTCTTTTGTTATCTAGGTCTTCTGGGTACTAATTTTGATGTGTGATTATTTCATTTTTCTAAAACTCATAGTACATTCTAATTCATTAGACCTAAATTTTCTTTTCTTTTTTTTTCTTTTTTTGTGAGGAAGATTGGCCCTGAGTTAACATCCGTTGCCAATCTTCCTCTTTTTGCTGAGGAAGATTAGCCCTAAGCTAACATCTGTGCCCATCTTCCTCTATTTTGTATATGGGACACCACCATAGCATGGCTTGATGAACAGAGCATAGGTTCGCACCCGGGATCCGAACCTGCAAACCCTGGGCCGCTGAAGCAGAGCGTGTGAACTTAACCACTAGACCACCAGGCCGGCCCAAGACCTAAATTTTCATTTATCAAAAGAATATGATTTTTTTACTGGAACAGGAGTAATCCAGAGCCCCTGACTGTATCACTGGTCATTTTTTAAAAATCCTTTGTGACTCTAGGCTTATCACTTCCTCGTAAAATAAAATAATCGTAATAATAATAGACTCTTTAGAAGAAAGGTTCTGATGGCATTTTTCGCGCATTTGAAATACAACTAAGCGCTGTGCTGTGTCCTCAGATGAGGAGTACACCTGGGTGCTGACTCCGGAGAGTCTGCAGTATGGGGTCGGCACCTACTACATAACAGCTGTGTTGAATAAAAGCCAGGAGAGCGCTCAGCAGCCACCCACCCTGTTCTCAGTCGTCACTGTCGTCACTCAGTGTTATTTCTGGGACAGCCACAACAGCACTTGGAAGAGCGACGGATGCCAGGTAGGAAGCTGCACCGCCTCCCTTGCCTGTCGTCTTCCTTAGCTGGCATTAACACAGTGCATCTGCTATCTCAGTTGGGGCAGCCCAGAGAGAAAAATCAGCAGAAGGGGAATAAATCTACCTGGGGAAAAGGAGGAGGGTTGCGTGTAGTGGTCCGGAAAAGAGCTCGTGCTTTCTATGTGTAATTTCTTTCTCAAACATTAGTCCAAGGTAAATCTGACAATTCTAGGTAAGAAAACCAGTACACGGAACCTGTTAAATTCTACAAGTAGTAAATACATTGTGGGTAAAGTGGAATGAACTTCTTGCTGAATAAAAGAATTTTTGTGCTTAAAAATAAGCTCACAGATTCTGGTACATTCCGGGCCAGGTGGGGACAGGTTGTCACTTTTGTAATTATTGCCTAGTTCCAGGTGTCTGCCCACTTTAAAATGGCACTATATGTTTCCACACTAGTGATGCTGTGAGATCCTGTCTGATTTAAGTCCTGGTGCAGTTGCACAAAGGATGTGGTGGAAGGTTCTGGAAATCATGAAGCTGTTCTTCTTAAAAGATCTGAGAAAGTGTCATCCAGATTGCGACTAGAGGGAGAGAGGATGCTCTGGAAGGCATCTGCCCCGTTCAATGGCCTCAAGCAGTGATTTCTGGATGATCTGGGGCAGCACATGCTCTAACTGGGAGCCTGTTAAAATTCAGATTCTGTTGCCGTAAATCGGGCAGGGCCTGTGAGTCTACCTTTCCAGCAAGCTCCCAGGTGATGTCAGTGCTGCTGGGCCAGGAAGCCACACTTTGGGTAGCAAGGCTTGAGACTGACCCACTGATCGCAAAAGGCGTCAGGAGATTTCCTGCCTCCATGAAGCTCTGACAGTGCTTGGTCTCCGTGAAAGGAACGGGGCTGCAGAAACAGGACAGGAGTTCCTCTGAGGCAGACTAGAGACTGGACAACAAGAACTTAACCGTGTGCCACGGAAAGAAGTCAGTCCTAAGGACACTGTTTTAGGCTTTTCAGCTGCAAAACCAAACATGGAATTGGTACCTTCCTTTTTTTCACCTAGTGACATTTTAAAAATTATTTTTTATGAAGAAATGTTACAACATATGGAAATTTACAGGAGATGATATAACAAAAAACATTAAACATGCCACTCAGCTTTTCATGAAGTTAGTATTTTGCTCTATTTAGTTCAGATTTTTAAAAATAATAAAACACTCAGGAGTAATCGAAGCCCACTGTGTATCCCTTGCTAATCTGATTTCCTTCCTCTCACCAAAGGATAACCGCTGTCCTGAATTTGGTATACGTATTCATTCTTTCAGCAAATATTTATTGAGCATCTTCTCCATGCCAGGCCCACGTCTAGGAGCTAGAGATACAGTGATGGACCAGACAGTGTCCTCACGTGCTTACATTCCAGTGAGGGAGACTGACAAATATAGATAAATAAGTTCACATGCTTTTGGTCTTTGGGCAAATGGCACCATACTATCCAGATCCTTCTTTAACTTGTTTTTTTTCACTCAACATTTATGCATGTTGATATATCTAGCTCTAACTCATTCATTTTAACTGCTGCATAGTATTCCATCAGTTTGCCTCTACTCGTTTATTTACTTCTTTGTGTGTTCTGCTGTTACTGGGCATGTAGGTTGTTTCCGATTTTTTGTGGTTGTAAACAGTGCTGACAGAAACGTTCTTTCTCACATCTCCTCGTGGACATGTACAAAGTACCCCTAGGATATATATTCAGAACTGAAACTGGAGGATTCAAAGAATGTGTGTTTCTTCAGCTTTACTAGATGTTGCCAACTTGCTCTCCACATTGGTTACACCAGTTTACACTACTGCCAACAGTGACTGAGCGATCGGACATGCTTTTCTCTCTCTAAATTGCCCGTGTTTATGTTTTATGTTTGTCCCTTCCTTAGTATTCTATGCAATTAGTATCAATGTCTTGATTCTAATTCCAGGTTGGGCCACAGAGCACGGTTTTGAGGACCCAGTGTCTCTGTAACCACCTGACCTACTTTGGCAGCGACTTCTTCATTGTGCCCAGGACAGTGAATGTTGAAGACACGATCAAGCTGTTCCTTCGCGTGACCAACAACCCTGTTGGGGTGTCACTGTTGGCCAGCCTATTAGGATTCTATGTGCTCATATTTGTGTGGGCTTGGAGAAAGGACCAAGCCGACATGCAGAAGGTGATGAGACTTTGATTCCAAAAGCTTTGCCACGATGTCTTAAGTATGTTGAATAAGATGGAAAAAAACACATCAAATGAGGCGGGTAGAAATTCAAGTGGGGCTTTTCTTAAATTTCTCTTCATATCTGCTGTCTCAAAGCCTGGAAACTTAATTCTCTATCTCCATTTTTTTTCTTTTAGGTAAGGTTGAACTCTCATATGATTCATTTAGGTTAGGAATAAGCCAAAAGAAAACACCTAGAGAACTTAACTACAATCAAGTTCAAGTTTATCTCACTTTATACATTGAATATGAAAGTTATGTGCAAGTCAAATTATAATTTAATGTAACTGCAATATATAAGAAACCTGTAAGGAATCTTTTTTGAAACAAAAAATATCCTTTGATGACAGCCTCTTCTTAATTTCTCTTCTATATATTTCTTATTCTTATGTTTTCTTGTACTTGGAAATTCTAGAATACACACAAAGTGTCCATTTCTTTGTTGCCAGTGGTGTAGAGTGCCAGTTTTTGTAAATAAAAATACAGGACACCCAGTTAAAATTGAATTTCAAATAAAGAGTGAATGCATTTTTAGTGTAAGTATGCCCCCAAATTATTCACTGTTTATCTGAAATTCAAGTTTAACTGGGTGTCTTATGTGTTACCTGGTAACCCTGCGTGGGTGGGAGGGAGGTGGAAAGACTGAGAGACCCAAGACCTGATGGATTGATTTTACGAGTATTTCATTTTAGAGGCGTAAGCCCGGCACTTTCAGCGCTCATCCTCCTTTTCGTCACATAACTTAGGTCTGCTTGTTTGTCTGTCTTCTAACTACACCTCACCCTTGCTTTCCATAGAGTTGCCAAATCTGCAGCGGTGCATCCTCCTGTTTCCTAGCTGGAGGAAGCAGGGGCTATACTAAGTGAAGCTCTGCCACTTTTCTTGGTTCTACTTTTCCTGCAGGTGAAGGTCACTGTCCTGGCTGATAACGACCCCAGCTCTCAGTTTCACTACCTTATTGAGGTCTCCACTGGCTATCGAAGAAGGGCCGCTACAACAGCTAAGGTTAACGAAATAGATGTTCTTCCTGCATTGCTTTATGTCTTCTGCCACACGAGATTTACTCTGACGTGGTGATATCCCGGTGTCCCATAGCACGTTACAGGGGGTCACAGAGAGTGGCATTTCCTGGTTCTAAACTGTGACTCTGAAGAGCCCTCTCTACTTATCTAAGACTTCGTCTCAGTACAGTTGTCTCTGTCTTCCTCTTTCTCCTTAGGGATAAACCCAAAGAATCATGTTAGAACTTCCTGTATTTTATCTTTCCTTGTCACGATTCAGGTGGTTGTCACACTTTACGGATCAGAGGGGCGAAGTGAGCCCCATCATCTTTGTGACCCCCAGAAGGCAGTCTTTGAGCGAGGGGGAATGGATGTCTTCCTCCTCAGCACTCCGTCCTCTCTGGGGCATGTGCACAGCCTTCGGCTCTGGCATGACAATTGGGGTGACAGCCCTTCTTGGTAAGTACCCGTATCATGCTGGCTTGTTTCTTCCCTGTGGATCTTTAGCGTTCTGGGGAAAGACTTGCATGTCACCACAATAAAAACAATAATGCTTTGGACCAAGTAGTAACAAATGAGAATTTCAAAGCTGTCTGCAGAGAAATCCCGGAAATAAATATGATTTTTTTGTGGATGGTAGAATGACAGATGTTTTATCTTTTCTTTTCTTTTCATGAAATGTTGTCATGATTGTGAGCAGCAAATAACAACAATGAAATATTGCTCAAAAATACCGTAAATTAAAATATCTCTATGAAAAATATCTTTAAAGAGTAAATTGAATAACCAACTATATACTGAATGTACTTGGGGTCAAAATCAAAAGCTGAAGGAGAGGGGAAAGAATGGAATCATGGGATGTGTCTAGGGAGTTAGAGAGATAAATGGTCAGTATGAGTACGTGAACCTGACGTGGGCTGGGTCCAAAGGATTCTGCATCTTCCTTCAGCAGCACTCTGAGAATTGGGAGAGGTGGGTGGAGAACATAGATGATAAAATTAATTAAGGATGAAGATTATTGGTTTGTTGGAGTTAGGAGAGAAGAAGGGAATGAAGTCAAAGATCTAAGGCCCAGGTACTCAAATGAATCCGTTGCTGCGTGTTGCCCACCTGAGAAGAGTATACAGCCTGCCTAAAACTGTTAGCAAAACAAGTCTTTCCCTGCTGGGCTGGATGCACCAACCACTGAGCCACTAGAGCCTAATAATTTGCTTGCTGCATCCATTCTGTTCCGGTATCTACAAAACAGTTTGTACACTATCATTCCAGTTTTATTTATAAAGGCGAATAATGTATGATAAGCACTTGAAAAGACGCTCGACGTCGTTAGTCATCAGGAAATGCAAACTAAAACCACAGTGAGATAGCACTAAACACCCACCAGAATGACTAAAATTAAAAAGTCGGACAAAACCAAGTTTGGGTGAGGATGGGGAGTAATTCGAGGTCTCACACACCACTGGCGGGAGTGAAATGGTCCAGCCACACTGGAGAACAGTTTGGCAGTTTCTTATAAAATTAAACATACATTTACCTAGGAGGAATTCCACTCCTAGGTATTTATCCGAGATAAATGAAAACATGTGTCTATTCCAAGACTTATACACATATGTTCATAGCAGCTTTATTAATAGTAGCCCCAAACTGGAAACAACACAAATGTGCATTGGGTAAATGAAGAAACAAATGTTAGTATGTTCATTCAATGGAATACTACTCACCAACCAAAAGAACAATCTACCTATACACACAACATGGATGAACCTCAAAAGACATTATGCTGAGCAAAAGAAACCAGACACAAGGGAATACATACTGTATGATTCCGCTATATGAAATTCTAAAAAAGGCAAACGAATCTATGGAGACAGAAAGCAAATCAGTAGTCACCTGGGGCCAGGGGTGAGCCTGAGGAGGGTTGACAGGAAAGGGGCACAACTTTTTGGGGTGATATCTTGATGATGGTGGTGCTTACACAAATGTATACATTTGTCAAAATGTGTTGAACTGTACATTTTAAATGGGTGCCTTTAACATATGTAAATTATACCACAATAAAGTTGATTTTTTAAAAAAGTATGCATATAGGGAAAAGTCTAGAGCTGTATATACTGATTTATTACCAACAGTTATCTCTGGTACTGAGTAGGGTTATTAATTTTAAAAATTTTCTTCAGTATACTTTTACGTATTTTCAAAATTTTTAACAATGAATTTGTACACTCATTAGATTCTTTTCTTTTTCTCATGTATGAAAGAATAAGAGAATAAAAGTTACACTGGAATCATAAAAAGCCCAGGACTAGTTTCTCACTGATCAGAAAATGAATGTTTTCTCCTTTTTTGTACTTTGCTCTTACATGAAAGCTTTAAGAGTACAAGATGCACTAGTTAAGTTTAAATCAAATGCAACTTAGTCACCTGCGATTTTATAAACTGCCTGAGTAACAGAGTCCCCAGAAATATTTTAGCTTTAAAGGGGTCTAGACTCCTCACACAGAAAAAAACTTTCAACTAAAATTAAAGAAAGGTTTTCACAGAGAGATCTGAATGGTTTCGTGACATTAAACATAGACTCTTGAAGAAATAGCATCATTACAGTAAAGGAGGAAGTTAGCCGACTAGTTGCAAGATGAAGTCAAATAGGTTGAATAGTTAGGCATTCCAGAGGACAAGCGTGTTGACGGTTGAAATAACGGAGGAGTTAGATGGTAAAACATTGCGATTGGAAAGAGGATGAAATCTCAGGGCCTATGGCTCTGCGAAGTCGAGACGAAGCCACAGACCCCAATAGGACGAGAAGTCATTAGGATAAAGGTGCAAGACCACTCCCCAACCCCCAGGTACACGCTCTCAGAGCTTGGTGATGAAAGACAGAGGCAAACAGGGTTCTTGAAGAGGTGGCAGGGCACTGTCACACGTGGATCAAGGAAACTTAAAGAATATATACACACACCGAACTTTCCTAAGTTATAGAAGTCTGCATTCTGTAGTTTAGACGTGAACTCCCCTTAGAGGTTGGGAAGGGAAAAATGGGCTCAGCTCTCGTTTCTTTCTTTACTTCTTGCCTCACAAAGAAACAGCATCCTTTTACTTGGACACTCACTGACAGTGAAAGATTACTTCTTTTTTTTTTAAATTAATATTTTATTGAGGTATAATTGACATACATTATATTAGTTTCAGGTATACAACATAATGATTTGATATTTGTATATATAGTGAAATTATCAGCACAATAAATCTAGTTAACATCATCATCATACATAGTTACAGAATTTTTTTTCTTGTGCTGAGAACTTTTAAGATCTACTCTCTTAGCAACTTTCAAATATGCAATACAGTATTATTAACTATAGTCTCCGTGGTGTACATTATATCCCTTATTGATTTTATAACTGGAAGTTTGTTCCTTTTGACTCCCTTCATCCATTTCTCCCAACCCCCAACGCCTGCCTCCAGCAACCACCAATCTGTTCTTTGTATCTATGAGCTTTTTTTAATTACTATTTAGTTTAGATTCCACGTATAAGTGAGATCATACAGTATTTGCCTTTCTCTATCTGACTTGTTTCACTTAGCATAATGCCCTCAAGGTCCATCAGTGTTGCTGCAAATGGCAAGATTTCATTCTTTTTTATGGCTGAAGAATATTCCATTGTATATATCTACCACATTTTCTTTATCCATTTGTCCATCGATGGACATTTAGGTTGTTTCCATAAGATTACTTCTTATTACAGCAACTCATTTGTGCCTACCTCCCTAACACAATTGTCTTCATTTTATTATAGGTATGTAAACCAGGTAATTGTCAGTGACTTGGCAGGTAAAAGGAAATGGCATTTCCTGTGCAATTGTTGGCTGTCCGTGGACCTTGGAGACTGTGAGCGTGACCGGGTCTTCGTACCAGTCTCAAAGAAAGAGCTCTTTTCCTTTAGGTATTGTTGGGAAATGGTAGCGTTCTACAGGTCTTGGAGGCTCTGTTCATTTTCTTCATTCTTTTTTCTTTCTGTCTGTCAGACTGGATAATTTCAATTGACCTGTCTTCAAATTTGCTGATCCTTTCTTCTCCCTGCTCAAATCTGCTGTTGAGCCTCTCTAGTGAATTTTTCATTTTACTTATTGTAGTTTTCAACTGCAGAGTTTTTTTCTTTTTCTTAAATAATTTCTGTATCTCTATTGATATTTTCTATTTGGCAAGATATCATTCTCATTTGCTTTCCTCTAGTTCTTTGGATATGGTTTCCTCTAGTTCTTTGAACATATTTAAAATAGCTGATTTAAAGTCTTTGCATAGTAGATCCAGTGTCTTGTCTTCCTCAGGGACAATCTACTGACTGCTGTTGTGTGTGCATGTGTGTGGTGGGCACATATTTATTTTTTTCTTTCATGTCTTGTGATCAATGTGGCAACTCTGGAAATCAGATTTTCTTCCCCTCCTCCGGATTTGTTGTTCTTAGTGTTTATTGTTGCTGTTTGTTTAGTGACTTTTCTGAATTAATTCTGGAAAGTCTATATTCATGTGTGACAACTGAAGTTTCTGCTCAGTTAGTTCAGTGGTCAGCTGATGATTGGACAGAGATTTCCTTAAATGTCTGGAAGGAATAAGTCTCCCAGTCTTTGCTGACAGGTTTTGTGTGCATGTTGTGGCATGCCTTCAGCACTCAGCAAGGCAACTGAGCTCTGCCTTAGCCTTTGCTTCCTGTTTGCTGAGAGCCTCAGGGTCATCCAGGAGTGAGAGCTTAGGGCCTTCTCAGGTATTTCCTGAGTGTGCACACAGCCCTGGGCATGCATGTAGCTTCTAGAGTCCCAGGAATATGTCAGAGCTTTTCAAAACTCCTGTGGACTTCTCATTTTCCAGCGTTTTCTTTTAAGCTTTTTGGTTAGCCTATTGTTGGCCCACCATATCAGGTAGCTGTGAAGTTAAACAATTGCCTGTGAATTTTTGACAGTGTCCTCAGGGAAAAGGCTTTTTGCAGTGTATGAGTGCACAAGTCAAATCAAGACAGCCTTGCAAGTGGAGTTTCCCAGGGAACTACTAGACAGGTCAAATAGTCACAATTCTCTGGGACTGAGGCTTTGAAGAAGCTCCAGACTTGGTCTGCTCCCTGTAGTGGCTGCCAGGCTGCTGGTTTTCACTGTGATTGAAGGCTGTTGGTTTTCAAGGTTACCGTGGAGCTAGAGAAAGGGAGATGGGAATAGGGCAAGTTAAAATGCCACAAAGCTCACTGTTCATATTGATATTCAGCCATTTTTCTTTCTTTTTTTTTTTTTTGTGAGGATGGTCAGCACTGAGCTAACGTCTGATGCCAATCCTCCTCTTTTTTTTTGCTGAGGAAGATTGGCACTGAGCTAACATCCGTGCCCATCTTCCTCTACTTTATATGGGACGCCGCCACAGCATGGCTCTACAAGCAGTGCGTCGGTGCGCACCCGGGATCCGAACCGGTGCCCCAGGCCACCGCAGCGGAACGCGTGCACTTAACCGCTTCCACCACCGGGCCGGCCCCTCGGCCATTTTTCTTGAATAAACTCTCCTAGGTTGCTACACACCTTTGAATATTTACCTGAATTCTGAAAATTTTGATTCTAACTTTTTAAAAGCAGTTTTATCATTGCTTTTACGAAAGAGAGAATTTTCAGAGGTCTTTACTCCACCCTTTTTGCTAACTCAAATGGATTTAGACAATTTACTATTTATAGCAATAATATCAGCCAGAGTAATATTTTATGTCGGTCACCAGAAGCCCGGTTCCCACAGGGTGATACCTGCACAGGCAGTGGAGATGCTTTACAAAAGAAGAACCCCAAGATGAGGAGACTCTGATCTGGTATAGGGACTGCTGGAAAACCTGCAGGATAACTCTCCTGTGGATTGAGACATTGTCTTTACGTCTCTGGAATGTAAGCAAATCTCTCAAGGGGTGGGAACAAGGCATTTCTATCTTTATTACCCTAGAATATCCCTGGGGAGTGAGATGTGTCTGTCTTTACAATCTGGAAATGTAAATAAATTTGCTCCAAAGAGAGTCACTATCTCTATCTTTCCAGGGCTGTGTGCTTATACAAAGATACCTCAAAAGATAGTCCAGGAGCAAATTTTATTAATGCCTAGATATGAAGTATTCATGGAGAATTGCCTTCCAACACTGCCTTTTTTGTGTTGTGTCAGTCTTCTGTCAATCTAGCTCTTATTCTTTTAAAGTATACTGCCTTTTCTCTTTTTAATATTTTCTCTTTATCCTTGATGTACCAAGGTTTACCATAATTATTTTCACTGTAGATTTGCTTTTTTATCCTGTTTGGTACTCAGAATATACTTTTGTGTGTGTGTGTGTGAGGAAGATCAGCCCTGAGCTAACATCCATGCTAATCCTCCTCTTTTTGCTGAGGAAGACCGGTTCTGAGCTAACATCTATTGCCAATCCTCCTCCTTTTTTTTTTCCCCCCAAAGCCCCAGTAGATAGTTGTATGTCATAGTTGCACATCCTTCTAGTTGCTGTATGTGGGACGCAGCCTCAGCGTGGCTGGAGAAGTGGTGCGTCGGTGCCCGTCCGGGATCCGAACCCGGGCCACCAGTAGCAGAGCACGCGCACTTAACCACTAAGCCATGGGGCCGGGCCTCAGAATATACTTTACAAATTTTTTTTGCTGTGGTAAAGTACACCTAACATAAAATGTACATTTAATATGCAGAATCATGTCTTCAATTCTGAAAATTTCTCAGTTGTCACTTCTGAAAATATTGGTCCTCTGACATTCCGTTAATGTATGTTGGAGCCTCTCAAACCATCCTCCGTGTTATTAAACTGCTCTTGCATATTTATTTTCTTTTTGCCTCTCTTTTTGCCTGGATGAGTTCTTTAGTACTGCATTTCAGTTCACTAATTTTCTTTTCAGCTGTGCCCGTATCTCCTAAATTTTTTGTTTTGATGACCATATTTATCAGCTTCAAAATGTCTAATTTATTTGTGTTTCTCATAGTTTTTTATTCTCCTTTTTTTTTTTTAAAGCAGGGCTTGGACCCCATGTTATAATTTTATTTATTTATTTATTTTTCCCCCTAAAGCCCTAGTAGATAGTTGTATGTCATAACTGTGCATCCTTCCAGCCACTGCATGTGGGACGCAGCCCCAGCATGGCCGGAGAAGCAGTGCGTCAGTGCACGCCCGGGATCCGAACCCGGGCCACCAGCAGCAGAGCACGCACACTTAACCGCTAAGCCACAGGGCTGGCCCCAGTTTTTTATTCTCCTTAAGTGAATATTATTCCTTTGCTTGTATCTTTGAGCAACTCAAAATACTTAAAGTCTTTGTCAGACTGTCCCATAAAATTAATTTCTTCTTGATTGAATTATTGATTGTGTTGGCTCCCTTTCTCAAGTTTAGATTTCTTCATGTGTTTAGGAATTTGGGGTTGTATGTTTATTTTGAGTGGTTTTATTGTTAAATCTCTCTCTCTCCATACTCATCCCTGACTAGTAGTTTGGCTGCTGTTTCCATCCAACTCCTCACGTCTTTAGTCTAGAACTAGGCCTTCTTATATTACAGCCTTTTGGATCCCGTATTCCCCAATAAAATTAATGAAACTAGGGCTACTGCAGATCTTGTCATGAGCCAATGGATCTCTTCGCTCAATTCCTGGTCATGGGCTGCCCTTTTTCACCCACCTCCCTACCTATAAATTTGTAGCTTTATGGCAGTTTTTGTTCTGCAATATCTTTTCATGAGCTCCAGCCTCAAGCCTGGCTTCAAGCAGTGAAGTTGGCTTTACTTTCCCTTTCCCCACCCTGTGAAATACTCTTAGTTCCAGTTACCCTACAAGAGTCAAACTCCCACCTGTGTACTGCCTTCTTCCAGACCTGGAGCCCAGTAATCCTGTGGCTTCTTCCTCACTCACCACCTTGTTTTCTCATTCCATTTCCCTTCCTCAGAGATGTTTATTTTGCTTTTAAGCCCAGCCAGTATTTTTGGTTCTTTCTTTTTACATCTTATTTATAGTTCCTTTTGGAGTAGAGAAGATGCTCAAAGTCTGAATTTACCAAACTATCTTGAGTGGAAGCCTAATGCAAACCTTTGAAGAGTAAAAGATTTATCAAAAGTCTTATAAAGCTAAAGCAACAGGTTTTAATTTTAAATTCTCATACATTATGAGTTATCCTCATCCTCAAAAACTGCTATCCTAAAATAACAAAAGGATCGTATTATCAGGTCATTTGAAAGCTTCTTCAGAGAGGCATTGAATAGTGGCTGAGTGGTTGCTAAAGAGCTTGTTGCTAGGCAAACTACATCTAAGTGTAGGGCACTTTCAGAATGGAATCTCATGTCTCTCCTGTCCTAATTCGTCTTTATAGACACCTGTTCTCCTCCATGATTGTAGAGAAGTTCACCCAGGATTATCTGTGGCTCTCAGTTGCAACTCGACACCCCTGGAACCAGTTTACAAGAGTCCAGAGGCTCAGTTGCTGTGTGACACTGCTTCTTTGCAACATGGTCATCAATGTTATGTTCTGGAAGATAAACAGCACTGCTGCCAAGAGAGATGAGCAAGGTATGGATGAGCCCTGATGTGTGTTGTTTATGGTCTGTAATCCTTTTACTATACTCCATTCTCCTTACTTTCAGGGTTAGAAACAGAATTATGGTGTGCTTTGTTTTTCCTTTGCTGCCCTAACGGTAGAACACTCTAACAAATTTTCTCACTGCTCTCATTCATTAATAAATGAAGCAACTTTAGGAACACATCAGGATTTTACTGCCATGATAATTTTCTATCCTTAGATAATCGTAGTTAAGTTGCTAAACAAATACTGAAATCTGGGAGAGGAATGACTGAGGTAGCTTTAATTGTTGAGGGTGAAGGTTGATGTAATGCTTTTCTTTCAGTGGGTCCATTTGCTGTGACGTGGTCTGAATTGCTCATCAGCCTCCAAACTGCTGTCATCCTCTTCCCAATCAATCTTGTAATTGGGCAGCTCTTCCCATTGATTCAACCACAGGAACCTCTGCCTCTCTTTCCTCCCATCCAGGCCTCCTGCCTCTCAGATGCTTCTTTTGAGCCTCTCTCTCTCACAAAGATAGTTGAGGTAAGCTTGGTATCAAATTTTACAGGTAAATGATGTCCTCCCCTTCCCCCCGTAGTGGAAAAGACCACTGGAAAGGATCTCTTGGAAGGCTCTCGGGGTCCTGTTAACCTGGATAGCTTTTCCCTAATGCCTATCCCCTGAGTTGCGATCCATCATACCTCTAGTTTTTTCTCCTGATTATGAAGTATTCTGAGGACTAATTGTGAATGCAGAACATACTACTCTGGAGTTGTTTTAGTTTTGGATGTTTGGTCAAATGGTCCCTGCTTCTTTCATTCTATATTCTCTCACAAAACTAGTTCTGAAGCTACTATGAAATGACTTCTTTCTGAAAAAGTATAGAGAAAAAGAAAAGTTGTTGTTCTTTACACTAAGCGTATGCCCTTCTGAGTAAAGAAACAGCCTTATTACCATCTATAATTGCTACCAGTCCTGGGTTAATGTAAAAAAGACTGACTTTTCTCATCTTGGTTCTACATTCAGGAATTAAAAGAAACTGTGGGACTCCTGCTCAGGAGAAATATGTACTTACTCTCAGAGTGTGAACAATCTTCGTGGAGTTCTGACAACGTTACCAAGCTGGTGAAACTTTTATCCAGCCTCATTTATTCTCATTTAAAGGGTCAAGGCTGTCATCAGCAGGCAGGACCCTATTGGGCAAATGGTAAAGTTCAGTAGGTTTTAGTAACTAATCTTTCCTCTGCCTTCCACTCTCTTGTATGTCTCTTACTTTCTTACTCATTCTTACCTCTCAGCATAACCAACAGGCATAATACAACCTTCTGCTTGTCTTAGTTTCCTTAAGCTTCCAATATAAAGCTGATAGCTTTGATCCCTCTGATGGCTTTTGAGACAATATATCTGGTGATACAAAGTAAAGGATTAAGGAAAAACCCACAAAAATATTCTCTGTTTCAGACCCCCATATTCTATCTGCTTTGTTGGAGGCTATTGAAACTTGTCATTCTTTTTTTCCTATAGAATGGTGAGATTGTGCAATTTATGGATTCTTGAATATAGTTTGGGCCTCCTGGGCACTTACCTAATATAGGTCACAGGTACTGCAGTTCTGGTGAAAAAGATCAATCAGGTTTTAGAAGTCTCAAGATCAAAGCGCAGAATTTTACAAATTGTTACAAAGTCATCACCATGCTCAGAGATGACAATAATACTGTACGTGTTGAGTCCAGTCTCCATTGACTGGGAAATTTAACCTCATCATCAATTAATGAATTGCTAATCTCTACCATAATTACTATTTTTTGAAATCTTCCACTTGTTAAAGTGTCAACCTGGAATATATTTTCAGTGGTTCCTGAAAACCACCATCATTTCCACTATTACCTGCTCCGAGTTCTGCAGAGGCTGCAGTGTCACTTAAGCACACTGGATCCCACCCAGGTTGACCAGCCTTGTGACTTCCTAGATGCAGCCAGCCAACTGCAGAAACTACAGGAACTCTTGGAAACACATCTCCTTCCCACAGGGCAAGGGCCATCCAGGTAACGCACCATACCGGTCCTTCTTTATCACCTGTAATCTTCCTAAACCTCTCTCTCAGCTGTTGGCTGTAGGATTATTCCTTCAACTTCTGTTCTTAAGGGAGGCAACCAGTTTTCCCATCCTGAGCCCAGCAGAAGGGAAGAAGTCCATCTTTAATGGCCTGCCCCAATGGCTGACTTATGTCTGCTGGCTCTTTCTGGGTGTCACTAGTCTGGCTGCGGCCTTTTTTACAGCACTTTATAGCCTGGAACTGAGCAAAGACCAAGCCACCAGCTGGGTTATTTCGATGATATTATCAGTGCTTCAGAACATCTTCATCAGCCAGCCAGTAAAGGTACGTGAGAAACGGGTCACACAGGCGGGAGTGACCATTCGTGGGAGGAACCATTATAGTTTCAGGAAACTTGGGAAACTGAGGTCCAGGGGTGTCAATCCAAGGTGGCTAATAGTTCTGACAATGTGACAAAAAAAAAGAAAGAAAGAAAGAAAGAAATAGGCAAAGCGCAATTTGTTAGGGATATGTGTGAAGTAGTCACAGAAAAAACTAAGCAGAACTGATAGACTAGTAGAAGTATTAGCAGAAAAGGATTGGGGACTTAAGAGGAACAAGTGAAAAAAATCAATGGACAACGAACTACTTTGGAAAAAGAGCAACATAAAACTTTTGAAAAAACTTTTAATTAAGGAAAATGTCAAACTCACATAGAAGTCTAGAGAACAGTATAATGAATCCTAAAGTTCTTTTACCCAGCTTCGGCAATTACCAATTCATGGCCAATCATGTTTCACCTATTTTGAAAAAACATACCAGACTTCATATTATTTTGTCCATAAATATTTCAGCCTGTTTTTTAAAAGATTAGGACTCTTCTTTTTAATACATAAGTATAAAACTATTATCACACCTAAATTAATAATTTCTTAATATGAATGTACTTAACACTATTGAACTATACATTTTTAAAAGGTTAAGATGGTAAGTTTTTAATGTATATTTTACAATTTTTTAGAAATCCAATCGGTGTTCAGATTTTCCCAGTTGTCTCATGTTTATTTTATAGTTTTGTTCAAATCAAGATCCAAATAAGGTCCACGTGTCGCAATTGGTTCCTATGTCTCTTAAGTATTTTGTGTGTGTGTGTGTGTGAGGAAGATCAGCCCTGAGCTAACATCCATGCCAATCCTCCTCTTTTTGCTGAGGAAGACTGGCCTGGGCTAACATCCATGCCCATCTTCCTCCACTTTATGTGGGACACCTGCCACAGCATGGCTTGACAAGCAGGGAGTCAGTGCGCGCCCAGGATCCGAACCCGGGCCGCCAGCAGCGGAGCGCACGCACTTAACCGCCACGCCACGGGGCCGGCCCCATTTTTTTTTTTTTTTTTTTTGTGCTCTCTTAAGTATTTTTAATACTTAATCTGTATGTTCCCCCTGCCTTACCCTCTTTCTCTTTCTATTCTTGCTATTTTTCTCACAATGTAATTGTTGAAGAAACAAAGTTGTTTGTCCTGTCGAGTTTCCAACATTCTGGATTTTGGTGGCAGGGTTGCCTCTGCTTTAAAAACCCGATAATATGGGCCTGAGCTCCCACAAGCAGATATTGGGAGCTTTTAGAATTCTTGATGCCCAGGCCTTACTCTAGACCAATTAAATTGTGATCTCCGGAGGTGGGCTCCAAGGTCCAACAGATTTTAAAGCTCCCCAGGTGATTCTGACGTTCTGCCCCGTTTGAGACCCACTGATCCTAGAAGAGGGACAGCGTACAAGGAGTGGGTAGACGTTAGTTATAAAGAACTGCTGGAGAAGACAGACCAAAGAGGAACAAGAGCTCTTAAGGAGATTCAGTTATACCAGGTACACAGACAAAGGCTTTCAGGAAATGGAAAATGTGATTTACGAAAATCAGAAGTTGAATTAAAGGAGATGTCATTATTGAAACCCAAATTAATGACCAGGAAGATCAAATAAACCAAAATAATGCAAAACATAAATAAAAATATTGAAATCACAAACAAATAGAGACCTACACGGTAGATCCAGGGTAACTAACATGCAGTTGATAGGAGAGGTAATAATTAAACAATTAAAAATTCCACCCATGCAAAGAAATATTGAATTTATCTATTAAAAGGCCCCAACTAGTTCCAAGCGTAATGAATTTAAAAAGACACACACTGAAATGGAGGATGGTAGTTCTGGGATGAGGCCCAAGATTCTGCATCCTACAAATTCCCAGGTGATGCTGATGCTCCTGGTCTGTGGATCGCACTCCAAGTAGTATCATTCTGAATAATAAATCTAGTTTCTCTGAGAAGTCAATATCATGAACAAAATTAATGGAGGAGGACTGTTCTAGATTTTTTGAATAGAGACGTTTTTAATATGGAGAGGATATTATACTAGGAAATTATTGATAATTTCCTTAAGTGTGATAATGATATGAAAATGCCCTGATTTTTTGGTGATACATGCTTGAATACAGGCGGTCCTTGCTTTGCCCTGTTTCAATGTGCATGAATTTCAGTTACTATGGTTTAGTTAAATGATATTGGTTTCCCAGCAACACAGTTCAGATCTCAGTTACCATGGCGTGTTAACTGTGAGTGACTGCATAAAGTAGAAACTGCTGCTCGCTCTTCAGTCCACAGGTCACTACATAAATAACAGGTATGCATCGTGGTCAGTCACCAATCATGTCACTTCTTTTAGTCTGTGGGTGATGGGTCACCTGTTAGCCAGTTCCTGGACAGACAGCAAAGCGTGTAGTTGCTTTATTTACTCTTCTCCCAGTCATAAACTCTGTGATATTTTACAAAAAAATGTACAATTGAAAGAGAGAATTGGCCAACAAAGATGAAAATGCAACGAAGAAACAGAAAGTAGTAACACTGGAAGTGAAGTTTAAATAGAACGTAAATGGAGTTATAGAAGAAGCTGACTGCAGAGATGTAGAAACACGTTGCGGGGATCACTGCCTGTGATCAGGAGCCTCTAGACACGCAGCCAGATGGACTTAGTCAAGTTTATCAACCCAAATGGAGAAATTGGTTGTGAAGAAAATGCTGATGATGTCTCGGAGGAAGTGGCACTGGCAAAAAACTTACATTAAAGGAACTCTCAGATATTTCATAGAAATGAAAGCTGTGATGAAGGATAAAAAAAGATAAAATGCTGGAAGCCAATCCAAACTTAGAAAAGAGTATGACAGGTCACCAAAGGCATAGAAAAGATGATCTCTTGGTGTTGTAAGTTATACAGGAAGACGAAGGTAAGCACTGTTCAGACTGTTCTTGATAAGTTTTTTACAAAGAAATAAAACACTTCAGTTCTCAATGTTTCTAATGTTTTAAGTTACAGTGGACTAAATACATACTGGTTTCACTACTTTTTAAAATTTCCTTTTAGTTTCATATCTGACAATAGGAGAGATTTTAATGTTTTGACAAGAATCTTTTTTTTTTTAATAATTTTATTTATTTATTTTTTCCCCCAAAGCCCCAGTAGATAGTTGTATGTCATAGTTGCACATCCTTCTACTTGCTGTATGTGGGACGCGGCCTCTGCATGGCCAGAGAAGCGGTGCCTCGGTGCGCGCCCGGGATCCAAACCCGGGCCACCAGTAGCGGAGCGCGCGCACTCAACCGCTAAGCCACGGGGCCGGCCCATGACAAGAATCTTTAAATGTCACACAACAATCATAATTTTTCCCGTTGATTATTAAGATCACTCTGCACGGTTTCAGCTTGCAAGGTCATGTTTATGATCCCACACTATCATGCAAAGTGAAAACTACCTTTTTTTAGGTGTGAAATGTTATGATGTCTATTTTCAAGTGGTTCAGGAAAAAAGCAAAGCAAATATGTGAAATGTTAACTTTTTTATGTATGTTTAAAAATTATAATAATAAAAAATCAGACAAAAATAACTCAAAATGGTTAATATGCCAAAATGTAAAACTTTTAGAAGAAAACCTAGGAGAAACTCTTGGTAACCTTAGGTTAGGCAAAGAGTTCTCATATACAACACCAAGAGCACAATCCATAAAAGAAAAAATTAATAAATTGGACTTCATCAAAATTAAACACTTTTGCTCTGTGAAAGATACTTGAGAATGAAAAACAAAGCCACATACTGGAACAAAAATTTGCAAATCACATATCTGACAAAGGACTCATATTCAAAATACATAAAGAACACTCAAAACTCAATAGTAAGAAAAAAAACCAATTTTTTAAATGGGCAAAAGGTTTGAAAAGACATTTCACCAAAGAAGATCTACAGATAGCAAATAAGCACATGAAAAATGCTCAACATCATTACTCATTAGGGAAATGCAAATTAAAACCACAATGAAATACCACTACGCATCTACTAGAACGACTTAAAAAATATTGATAATACCAAGTGCTGGTGAGGATGCAGAGCAACTGGGAACTCTCTTACATTGGTGGTAGAAATGTAAAAATGGTATACCCACTTGAAAAAACAGCTTGCCAGTTTCTTACAGAGGTAAACAGTTACCATATAATTTAGTAATCCCACTCCAAGGTATTTACCGCAAAGAAATAAAAACCTATATTCACACAAAATTGTTGTGTGACTATTTACAGCAGCTTATTCATAATTGCCAAAAGCAGGAAACAACCCAAATGCCCATCAACTGGTGAATGGATAAACTGTGGTACATCCATACAGTGAAAGACTACTCAGCAGTAAAAAGGAACAAACTACTGATACATGAAACTACGTGGATGAATCTCAGATGTATTATTGTAAGTGAAAGAAGCCAGGCTCAAAAGGAATAATATATGATTCCATTTATGTGACATTCTGGAAAAGGCAAAAACTGTATGGATGAAGAACACATCAGTAGTTCCCAGAAAGTGAGGTAGGAGAAAGGGTTGACCAAAAGGGGCCAGCCTGAGGGAATTTTTGGATGATGAAACTGTTGTGTATCCACCACCATAATCAAAACACCTAACTGTGCATTTGTCAAAACTCATAGAATTGTACACCAAAAAGAGTGATTTTTACTGTGTGTAAACTAAAATATAAATATTTTTTAAAAGCAAAAAAACCTTTCTGATCACAATGGCCAAAAAACTTGTAAAATGTTCATCTCCACTGGTCAAATAAATTAGAACGGTAAGATTCCATTTTTGCTTTTTTTTTTTTTTTTTTTTTTTTTTTTTTTTTTAAAGATTTTATTTATTTATTTTTCCCCCAAAGCCCCAGTACGTAGTTGTCTGTCATAGCTGCACATCCTTCTAGTTGCTGTATGTGGGATGCGGCCTCAGCATGGCTGGAGGAGTGGTGCCTCGGTGCGCACCCGGGATCCGAACCCGGGCCGCCAGCAGCGGAGCGCACGCACCTAACCGCTAAGCCACGGGGCCGGCCCCTCATTTTTGCTTTTAAAAATGGCAAAGAAAAACAAACGATAACACACAGTGATGCCAGGGAAAATGGACACAACGCTGGGTGAGGAAAATCTGGTAATATATGGTAAGAGCATTCAAATTCTATGTCCTTTGGCTAAATAAGTTTCACTTCTAAGGATCTATCCCGCAACAATTCAGGGTGGTTTATAATAATAAAAAAATTAGCAAGAACTTAAATGTCCAAAATTTGAACGTTGCTTAATATACTATGAGACAGCCATATCCATATAATGGAATACCAAGCAACCACTAAAAATGTTATAGAAAAGTGTAATGATGTGGAAAGCTAGTCGATGTATATTAAGACAAAAATGGGGGCTGGCCAGGTGGCGTAGCAGTTAAGTTCGCGCTCTCCGCTTCGGTGACCCCAGGTTCGCAGGTTCGGATCCCAGGTGCACACCGACACACCGCTTGTTAAGCCATGCTGTGGCGGTGTCCCATATAAAGCAGAGGAAGATGGGCACAGTTGTTAGCCCAGGGCCAATCTTCCTCAGCAAAAAGAGGAGGATTGGCATCAGATGTCAGCTCAGGGCTAATCTTCCTCAAAAAAAACTGTAGTATATCCTCACCCTTAAATACTAATCAGCAATAAAAAGGAATAAAGTTTAAAAAAAAAAGGACAAAAATGATTAAAGGATATATTCCAAATTTTAAGAGTTTTTTAATCTCTAATTTTTCTTTTTTTCTAGACTTTTATAATCATATATTACTTCAGTTAAAAAAAATGTTTGGGTTAAAGTATAAAAAAAGGAATAAAAGAGATGGAAACCAACGTATTAGCTTAGTTACTGGTATCGCTGTAGTGGAGAATCGGGTTGGACCCACGGCCAGGTGTACTTTCTACTACTTTCCCCCAAGTCTCGTCCTTGGGACAGTCCACTAGAGGGCGATGTTAGGTCTGCAGAGCAGATGCACCCAGAATTGCCGCCTCAGAAAAGAGATGTGTGGCAACAGACAGGAAACACCGCCCTTGTTCTTTATTCTCCTGGGGCCTGGAGCACTTTCCTCCCCTCCATGAAAATTGAAGGAGTTGGGGATACTTGTTTCCCTCAACAGATACTTAATGTCTTGCTCAATTCTAAGATTCCATGTCTTCTTGAGCAAAACTGAGATTTAATCCTTGGGGCTCTTAAAAGTGTAACTTCTCCAGTCTAGTTCCTCAAAGGTCTTCCAATGATAGGTGTTACTGAACAACTTATACACATCATCACAAATCCTTTAATAGTTTAAGCTTTCTTAGCCAAGTAGATTAAGGACTACAGGCAAAAATACAAATATTAACATGTTAGCCAAGGCCCCATGATTATGCAAAAATAATTATGAAATTACTACTCAATTTTCCATAATAATAAAGGCCAAATAATTGAAATTTATCAATCATATCCACCTTCACCTTTACATGATGATGTCACCTTCTTGGATCCCGTAATATCTGCTCATGGTTTCTGCTATGATTTCCCCATCTAGGTGGTCTTCCTCACGTTGTTATCCTCACTGATGCTAAACAGGATGCCGTGGCTTCACAAAGGGAAGGAACAACAAACAAAGAGGATCTTGGCACTCTTGGGTAATTCAGGTAGTTCTAACTAGTAATATCTAATTTCGCAAAGATCAGGTTATATCAGAGCAATGGAATTCTATCCTGACTCCCATTTACCCATGCAGGGAGCTTGTCTCTAATCAGCTGGTTGCTACTCCTCCTCTGCCTCAGGCGAACCACTATGTCACCAGAACCCATGCATTTCTCCCTAGATCCTCTCATCCTCCCTCAGTGCTTCAACTCTCACCTGGATTCTAGATCTCTTTCTCAATCACTTGCTCGCTTCTGAGCCCCACATGTGATTTCCAAGTCCTCCCCATCTGTACGTATACCTGCAGGCGTCTCAAATTAAACATACTCCAAACAGAATTATTTGCCTGCCCCACAAATTCACTTCTTTACTCTATTTTCTCATTTTAATTAAGAGCATCACCATTCTCTAAAAATGTCAGAGTAATCCTAAATTCCTCTCTTATTTCCTACATTCAGTCACCAACCCTGAGGGAATCTACCCTCTAACTGACCTGAGCTACTCATATCACACGCATGGACCTCACAAACACAATGGTGGGCAAAAAGCAAGTTGCGAAAAAAATTAACACAATACTTTAATCATGCAAAACAATGCATGTCTTGCTTAGAGGATATATATATATATTTTTTAAATAAAGAAATGCAAGGGAATGATAAACACAAGTTCAGAGAAGGATTCGCTCTCTGAAGGAAAGAAGGGATACCATCAGAGAGGTACCCAATGGACTTTATGTTGGCAATCACTTATTTCTTAAGCTGAGTGGGACATGTTACTAAGGGATAGGTACCCCATTCCTTATGAGATTAAAAAAAATTAATAATCTGTCTTCAAACTGCCTTCCTAGCCCTCGTGTCATTTCTCTATGCTCTTGAATTGCTGTTCCCTCTGCCTAAAATGACTTTTTTTTATTATTCTCGTCCTTGTTTATCTGAATAATTATATCTGACTCATCCTTCAAAACAAACGTCAAATGTCACTTCCTTTATGACACCTTCTCCAACTTCCTCAGGGAGATTTGTTTTCTTACTCTTCAGTGATCCATGCTGGCAAGTTTTATGTCATATATCATTCCCTCTTTCTCTCTCCATCTTGATTTAAATATCTCTAGATACTTCTCAGTGTGTTCTACAGACCAGCAGCACTGGCATCTCCCGGAATTGTCAGAAATGCAGAATCTTAGGCCTCACCCCAGAATCTGCATTTTAACAAAATTCCCAAGTGATTCCTATGCACATTAAAATCTGAGAAACGCTGCTCTAAAATAGTACTCCCAACATGTGGTCCACTGATAGAACTGTTTGTTTCTAGTCCAAAATAAATACAGAAATTGAGAGTAATTTAGAAATTTTTATAGCAATTGAGCAGACTAATTTTAGGCATATTGAATCTAATTTTCAAAATGGGGCTTGTATTTTATATGCCTCTGTTTTACTTCATTTTTTAGTAATTAATTTTTATTGTATTTTACAAAAATGTCAGTCCTCAGTGGATTGGAATTCAAAAAAAAAGTCTTTCATGATAGTTTGAGAAGCGCTGCTTAGATAGTTTTATTCTTTGTGTCTTCAACATTTAACAGTAGGTATTCATGGTAGAGTCTCAGAAAATGTTGATGAATAACTGCTTAATGAAATATAATGCTTTTTTGGCCTATCTTTGAATTTTTGACAGCAAAATATTCTTCATCATTACCTGGTTCAAGAGATAAGAACAACCCCATCTATGTAGCCCCAGCTATGAATAGTCCAGTTAAGCGCCCAGAAAGAACCTTGAAAGAGAAGCCACTCTTCAAGCTGACAGGAGATATTTTGGGTATGGAGAGGAAAGGGTAACATGTTGATACTGCAGCACGTTTCCTCCAAAGGAAAGGGGGAGTGAGAACAAAATGGAAAATATAGAAGGGTGCAAAAGTATCTTAAAATGTTCTCCTTGAAAAATTCTGGATTCCAGTAAACAAAGTTGTATGGCAAATGGAAAGACTCATGAACTTGGAGTCTTGAAATCTAATTATGTGCTTGAGTAAGTCACTTTCTCTATCTACAAAATGAAATAGCAAAGCTTGATCTATATACTTCACAGGGTGGAGGAAAAATGAATCAGTTTTGAAAAATAGCTATCCTATAAGTACAGGGTAACTGGTTCAACACAGCTCGTGTTTGGATTATTGGACTTCCTGAACCAAAGACATACTCTGTGTTATCATGCCTTCCCTTCTTGTGAACACAGACAGTCTATAGATAGCTGGGGAGGAGAGAGGAGGAAGTGGGGTGGTTTAGAGGGGCATTTAGTTCTAAGAACTAAAATACAACATTTTTTGTGGGGGATTTTATGTATCTTAAATAAAATTTCTGATTAGTGACATGACAGAATAATTCTGGGAAGAATATATAGATATCTATAGATCGATACAGATATCATTAAGAGCCAAGTGCTTTGGCTTATCTGTTTACAATTATTAGGTTGAACCATATGAAATGGCCAATTTTTGACTGTTTTTGACCTGTAAAAGTCTATAGGCTTAGGAAAAACGAAGAAAAAGGTATAGAGGATTTCTAAGCTAACCACTCAACTATGATTTTTTTCTCTTCTACACTAGTACAAATCCTCTTCCTTATCCTGTTGATGACTACAGTCTACTCTGCACAGAACTCCAATAGATTTTATCTCCATCAAGCTATCCAGAAGAGATTTTCTCATGGTTTCTCAGAGATCAAACTTCTTAAGCATTTCTACCCCTGGGCCAATCGCACCCTCCTTCCTAACCTATACGGGGACTACAATGGTAAGAACAGTCCTGGGGCCCAGCCATGCAAATGTGGGGTGCAACACCCCTACCATGACACATTAGCACACTGAAGAAAGGTCAGCTGGCTTTTTCAATATGGCTGCGCCTCTTTGGGCACCCCAAAGTTCCACTCCCTGGGCCTCATCTAAGCAGGTTCAGATTTGTCTGTTCACCCAAGGGTGATCAGGCCCATGGGAGCTGATTCCCACTGGTGAGTCTCACAAGAGGCTGATAAACAAGAATGAGAATTTATTCACTTAAAGCCTGAAAAGTAACTGGAGTGGTCCCTGGGACTGGTTGCCTCCTTGTGAAGGAGGGAACCACATGTCATGGAAAAGGTTGTTGGATGAGGACAGACCAGGAAAACAGTGTAACCAGAAAGATCTACATACCAGATGACACTTTGATATATTGCCTGATGTGCAATCTCTCCCAAGTCTATGACATGTCTGTCTAACTCTTCTTGTGTGGTTGTTCAGTCCACAAACATGTATTGAACACCTAGCATGCTGGGAACTGTTCTAGGAGCTAATGATAAAAAGATGGATATAATGTGGCTTGTACCCTCACAGAACCTCACTATCAGGAGTTAGTATGCTTTGCCCTGGACATTGTTGGAGAAATGCTAAAAAACTTCTTTCCGAAGGAAGGCTTCTTGTTCAATGTTTGTCACCAGTTACCAACATTTTGTCATATTATAACGTTATATCTTGTTAAGTAAGCTATATTCTGGAAATTGTTGCATTCGTTTAGCTGAAGATTGGTGGCTTCCTGTTGGGATTTGGAACATCTTCTAGATTCCTGAAAAAAATCTAGAAGACATGTTCATCTCAGCAAACACTTACAGCCTTTTCTTAAAGATCTACTTGGTGCATTTAGGAGCATTGTTACAGATGGCAACTCCTATTCATGTTGATTCTTTCTAGTACAGTTTTAGATGGTGACAGTTCTAGGTTCAGGGCACATTCTATTTGCAGTCTGTAACTCTGTAAAATATTGACTAAAATGTGAATCAAACCCTGGGTGGCTGGAGCTAGTGCCATTATGATAGGCATGCTTCTCTTCTTGGATTCTGTGGCTCTGTAGTATAGTGTCATGGTCTAAAAGCACAGACTCAGAAGCCAGACTGCCCAGGTGCACATCCTCACTCTCCACTTATTAGCAGTGTGTTCTTGGGTAAACTATTCGACTTTCTGTGTCTCAGTTTCACCATCTATATGATAGGGATAATCTTAGGATCTACCCTATAAGATTTATGTGAAGATTAAAAACTTAATAGATCTAAGTGCTTAGAACAGTGTCTGGCACATAGTATTCAGTAGATAAGTGTTAGCTGCTATTATTAGCTGGGTGTTTGGAGCTCTGGCTAATCTTTTTTTTTTTTTTTTTTTTTTTTAAAGATTTTATTTATTTTATTTTTTCCCCCCAAAGCCCCAGTGGATAGTTGTGTGTCGTAGCTGCACATCCTTCTAGTTGCTGCATGTGGGACTCGGCCTCAGGATGAACGGAGAAGTGGTGCCTCGATGCGCACCCGGGATCCGAACCCGGGCCGCCAGCATCGCAGCGCGCGCACTTAACCACCAAGCCACAGGGCCGGCCCCGAGCTCTGGCTAATCTACCAGAACCACAAAGTGTACATGAGTTACCTGGACATACTAAGGAAGAACAACAGCAATCTGTAGATTTAATAAAGAAATAGAATTAAGTAGACATGGGGTAAAAAGCAGTAAAAATTGTCACTAACATGGTTTATCTCACAACTACTAAAAAATCTTTACTTTCAGAATTGATGTAACCCAGTCGTATTAGTCCAGTTGTTTTCAGGAACATTGAAGCCCAAGCCGTTCACAGCAGATAATCTGTATCCTGTAAATACATAACTTTCCTAATAGCCTGGTCCAATGTATAATCACGTTTAGGGAAGAATCATTTTTTAATTTAATTAAGATTTCTCTTACCACAATTTAAACTTGCTTTTTCTCTTTTGACTTTCTTCTGAGGTGGAAGACAATTGATCACAATTCTACCATAATTGTATAGTTTTCATTTAAGAAATACCAAGTAAGACCATCTTTGAAGGTTAATTCACCTTTACCTTCCTCTTTTATCTTGTGCAGAACCCTAGGTCGTTTACAAGCTACTGCAAACCTCTCCCTGCCAAATTCTCTAACATAATCTTTTTCTTTCATTTAAAAACAATATTTTAATAATTAAAACATGAATATGGAGAAAATTCAAGTGTACAACAGCGTATATTGTGCTACTCCCTATTATCCCTTACCCTTCCTTCTTTCTTTCCAAGGGACAACTACATTCTCAACTCTTTGAGGTAATCTATGCATTTGCAAATGTATTTGCTGATAAATGGTAGCCTACATAAAAATTGTCACGCATTTTGCCTTTTTCTCTTAACAATTTACCTGGAGCTTGTTCCATCGGTATACATAATGTTGTTCCTATTATGTTTTATTCATTTACTATATAGTATCCCATTGCCTGGATGTGCCATAATTTATATAACCAGTTCCCTATCAATAGACATTTAGATTGTTTCCAATCTTCTACTGTTAACAACAATACTACCATTAATATCCTTTCACATATGTAATTTCACATGTGTACAAATATCTCTGTAATATATACACATTTTTAGCAAGTCTTTTCAAGGTATTTATTTTTTTAATTTAGAAAGATATTGCCAAATTGTTCTCCTTAGTTATACCAGTTAACACTCCCATTAGCAATGTATGAGAAAGCCTACTCACATCCCCAACAGCGCAGTGAAAATTGGGGTTTTCAAACAATACACGTAGCTCTGAAATATACGAAAGGCTTTGCAAATGCACTCCTGAGGAAATGCAAGTTTAAACTAAAGTAGGTACCTTTTTTTTTTT